AAATACTTAAAAAGGATAACTAAGGTTGAATAGTGTTTTAGACCAGAAATGTTTCCAAATATCTGGATTGTTTTTTAAGATTATTTTCTGAACAGTCAATGGTTTACTCCTTCTCCGTTCCACTATTGGTTCATTTAAGCACACTTACAAAATGTTATAATTTGAAAAAAATAATTATGGCTTTTGTTTTAATGACTTTGTTAGGAAGCTCAACTGATTTTGCCCTGATGTTGGAAAGTTATGAAATATATTTGCATATTTAAATGCTAAGGATCACATTTTATCTCGGAAACTCAGTTAAATACCATTTCTGTCACATATTTTAAATTATGTGGAAGGTATTTGTTTCTTTTGAGGACTTTAAAGAATGTTTCCAATTTCAAAGCTTTCCATAAAAAGTTTAGTTAGTTCCATGTAAAGTGTTATCCTTTTTTTAAAATGGTATTTTAAGCACCAAAATGATGTGGTAATTAAAATAATTTCTGGTTCACAAAACTAATAATTTCTGGTTCACAAAACTAGAACTATAATAGTTCTTAATTTTAAAATATAGTTTAGGTAAGGAGTATATAAAGTCTACACAAGTTTCTATATGTGTTATCATTTAAAAGTCCATTTTCATCTTTCTAATCAAATTAATACTTGGGAATTTTAAGATACCCATGTAGGCATTATCTGCTGCTCTCCTTATCCCAGCTACTTTGTATATTCATAGTGAACCTTAATGATTCCATCAGTTCTTAAGAGAATATAATATACAACTTATATTCACCAGCATTACAGGCATTTGTTCTAGTTATTGGCTACTGCTAATAATAGGATTATTAGACTTAGACATAAAACACTATAGATATGATACTTCCTTTCACTTATACATTTTAAAATTATTGTATTCTTTTGAAATTGTAAATTTTCATTAATAAGTGTAGAATGGTTTTCCCTTTGGTTCACCATGCTCTCTAGCCAAAGAAAAATAAAAATTTTTACAGGTTCAAAGATAATTTTTTCATAAAAGAAAAATATGAAAAATTTATTCATGTGTTACTTATTCATGGATAAGAGAATAATTTTAAGAAAACATTTTAAGAAAAACTTAGAGCTTTGCAAAGGATTGATAAAAGGATTTAAAAGAACAAATAGACTGATGACTCACAGGTCTATATACCCCTGAAGCATAATATATGTCAAGTAATTGAATTTAAATTAAAAAAATAAAATAAAAACATTAAAATTATAAAGCTCTAAAATAGAAATACATTACAACTAATCTGCTTAGAAAATCAATTATTAAAAAAATTTTAGGAGTTTTTGTACTTTTAATATGCAGCAATGAAACATAGTCTATACATTCCTAACAAATAAAAATGGAGACTCAAAACCAAAAAAGGGGGAACAGTAGTTAGCATACTTTGTTTATAACCACTTAAAAATAAAAAAGAATATATAGATGAGGCAGGATTACATTAGCATTTTAGTTCTGTAGAAAGTCAGTTAAGCTGTTTCTTGATATTTAATGATACAGTGACTGAAAGGTCTTTGTAGATATTTTAAGTACATTTACAGTATTCCCAGTAATGTTCTTGAGTGTTTTTCTGGAATTGCTTGGGAATAAGAAATTTGTGTTTAGAAATCTAAAATGTTTTTGATATAATTCAATGTATTTTTAATAGATAATATTAAGGATTTTTTATTCTTAGTAAATTTATGGATTAATACACAAGTAATAATTTGGCTTATAGTTTCAAGAAAGAAAGTTATTAGCACACTCTTTGTAGAAGTAGCAAATAGTTAACTCTAAACTCTTGTTACTTCTAAACCCTTCCCTGTATCAGATAACGCTATTATAGTGAGATGTATTTTAAGCACTTTGAGTAGTAAATCCTTTTTTTTAAACCTGATGTGTTCATCATGGGCATGTTGGTACATTTTTTGGCCAATATAACTTTAATATAATTCAACATAGTTATCAAATACTGGCTTCCAGTAAATCAATTTAATAAGAAATTTAAATTTTTACTACATGCAAGGTACTGTTTTAGGTGTTGGGAGGGTCTAAGAAAGATCTAAGAAAGGGCCCATAGTTCTCATTTTATACTTCACCTCACTTGGCATTATTATTTCACTTAGGTGATGTCTTGCTAACCAGAATGTAAAATATTATGTGAAGGATTTTATACATCATTATCGTCATTATCAACGTTAACAGTGATGTTGTTGTAAAGAGTTTTATAGTTTTAAAAAATTGTCTTACTTGTTACAGTCTTAAAATGAGTAAGATCTTTTGTAATTTAGGCTCAAACTGAGATAGGCTTTTCAAAGTAATATTTTTTAATTAAAGGATGCTTACTACTGTCTTCTGACAGAGTTTATGTTTTCAGTTTCATAGTTTTGTGCTAATGAACTTTTTTATTTAGTAAGTATATCCAGGAAACTGCAGGTAAAATATAAAAATTATTATGTTAGGTCTCCAAGTAAAATGTATAGAATATTTTAATTTATGTAGGGTATGAGATCACAGTTTGGCATACCTGTCCCAGAACAGACATTTATGTTTGATCATACCAATTGGGTTTTATAACCATGATTGCTTTGATAAGATTTGCAAGATAAAATCATATATACCTTTAAGAGCAATGCTAGGCTATGTCTTGCATATTAAATTCATGAATATCACATAACTTACTTTTGAGTTCATGATTGCTTTTCACCAGTACTTTCCATCTGTCATGGACAGGGATCCCTGAGATGTTCATATTCTGCATTCTCATGTGCATGATACTTAGATTCAAAAAGTATGGGTGGGGGAAAGCTGCTTTATAGAAATACACGTTCACAGCATTCATGCTGCATGTTTTGTGTGTTCTACTGCAAAGACTGCATGCTGCATACTTTTATTTCTCTGAAGATAAAGAACATAGGCTTATATACACACAAAAATTTAGTTTCATATTTGCCAATAGTTGGAACAGATGGAGGAATGTTATATATAATACCTTTTCTATTTTTTTAAAAATGATTTTTATAGTATTTTTCAAAAAAACAAGGAAAAAACTTGTTGTTTAAACCCAAAGTGGCTACAAATCAGCTCCTAAACTGTCACTGACATTAGCATCTAGATTTTGTAGTTCTTACAAATCTTTTAAAATATTTATTTACTAAGAAAACATTGCATTAATGCATGATATGAAATTGATCAATTTTTCTTTAAATTGGAATGCAGTTTAAAGTGACTGAATTTTCCAATTTCAGCTACTGCATTTGACAAGGATACAAACTGGAAAATGGAACTGGTATCATCTAATTGCTCTAGGTTCTTTGACTTATAGTAGTTTGGAATAATATTTCCATATGACATTATGTAGATCACATCATTAATGGCTGATATTAATTACTGTGCTCTTCAGCCTTGACAGCAATGAAAAATTATTGGTGAATTTAGCTCTTTCAAATGACTTAAGTGTTCTGGTACATGTTTTTAATTTAAAAATAGATCTTTGGCACTTGGCTTTTGATTATCTGAACACTGGTGTTCTTACATTCACTGTTTGCAGTATAATTGACAAGAATATTGCAATTCCAATGGCTGCACATTGGTTTTAAGTTTTATCCTGCTGCTTTAACACAGTGGCACACTTGGCTATAGATAAAAACTAATTTTAGATTTAAACATATCTGTTAGTTCTGTCACATGTTAACCTATTTTTAGTTTTGTGTGTGTATGATTATGAACCTTTCCATATCTCATACAAGATCAAACGGTATTTCTAAAATTTTAGAACTGACAACTTCCAACCTTAACATTATTAGTGTGTGTTTAAGGTTGTGCCATAAAGGATTAAAGTACTAGTATTTTTCAACAAGCTGTTCTGCCAGTTGCCACATGTTTTATAAAGATCTACTTAATTCTTTTTTTGCTAGGCATAATAAAGAAATGGCTTTGTAAGAGACCTTTTTATATAAACCGATTCTAGTGCTTCCCCAGCACTAGAATTTTTTGTTTAACTCTTTTCTGTTAGGCTTCAGTCAATAAAAGTTATTGTTACTTGTATAAAGAAATTTCCTTAATAGTTAAAATCAAGCAGGCCCTTTAAAGAGAGAGGAAATGAATAGGGGAGCCAATTGCTGAGTGTGTACCAAGTACTTTGTGAGAGAAATCCATCCAATAATCAGTCTTAATCTACTTTTCATTCTGCCATAAAGGATGGATTTATTTATTTTAGGTATTATGGTTTTGAACGGCCATTTCCAACTTCTGGATACCCTTAGTGGTTGACTTCCCTATCTTCCACTGCCCAGCATAGTCCAAATCAAACTTTTTCACTTTTATTCTAGATTTTACAACAATCATAGTGACGGTACCAGTTCCATTTTGCCTCCAATTCAGTTGATTATATATTTTTTCTATTTATTTCTCATTTTATAATTGATATCTGGAATAATCAATCAGCAGCTCTTTTCTCATTTATTTTCTCATATTTTTATTCCAGGATTTGCCTCTGAAGCAGGGAGTGTCTGCATTAAAAATGACCTGTAGTTCTCTGCTTCATAGGTTAGAAACTTATTTTAATATTTTGTGGCTAAGCACAGTCCCACTTTTCAAATTCTATAATGGATTACTTAATTGGCATTGAATGTGGACCACAAGCATATATTTCATATTGGGGTTTTCTTTATTATTTTAAATGATTAAAATTCAACAAGAACATCCAGCTGAGGCAATAAAAGCTTTATTCTTGCTTTACAACTTAAAACATTAAATTAGATTTTTAAAAATCTATCAATTATAACACAAGTAAAATATTACTATTTGGGCATTTTTTAAAATTGCATTTTTTAGGCCTTGTATTGCTTGAAGCCTTTATATTCTAAAACTTAACCAAATTCCAACTATTCATTTTGGGGAAAAACAATCAGTTCACGAATCACATTTTCAATGGGACTGCTAGCCAGCATAGGTGAAAATATGTATAGTGTATTTACTCTTAAATTGTACACCGCAGATGCTTCTTCAGCTCCCTCCTCTTCCTCCATGGGCGGTGCTTGCAGCTCCTTTACCACCTCTTCCAGCCCTACCATTTATTCTACCTCAGTCACCGACAGCAAGGCTATGCAAGTGGAGAGCTGCTCCTCAGCCTTGGGGGTAAGTAACAGAGGGGTAAGTGAAAAGCAGTTAACCAGTAACACAGTTCAGCAGCATCCATCAACACCGAAGAGGCACACAGTCTTGTACATCTCACCACCACCTGAGGACTTGCTGGATAACAGTCGGATGTCCTGCCAGGATGAGGGGTGTGGATTGGAATCAGAGCAGAGCTGCAGTATGTGGATGGAGGATTCCCCCTCCAACTTCAGTAACATGAGCACCAGTTCCTACAATGATAACACTGAGGTACCTCGTAAATCACGAAAACGAAATCCAAAGCAGAGGCCGGGGGTCAAACGACGAGATTGTGAAGAATCTAATATGGATATATTTGATGCCGACAGTGCCAAAGCACCTCACTATGTGCTTTCTCAGCTTACCACGGACAACAAAGGCAACTCAAAAGCAGGAAATGGGTTGGTATTCACATTTTTTAAAGTTCTATCACCATTGTGCAAAACAAAACAAAAAATAAATTATTCCCAGTTTTTGTAGTTGTTCAACCCAAGTGTGCATATAAAGCAAAGATACTGATTTTATCATTGAAATACATGAAAATTCAAACTTAAAATTACCAAGTTTCACTAGAGGAAAACATATTAATAGATTTTAGCAATAGGTATCTTATTCTGGGTATGATTGGTAGAAAATAATCTGTTTTGAAATAACCTTTAAATTTCAAATGGATTTAAAAATATTTTTACTCAGACAAATAGCTTGAGTGAAATGGCCCTAGTTGACTCAAAACATTTGAAAAGGGCTAGTTTGTGTTCTCTCATGTTGTCTCCTGATTTGGTTCAACCCATTTCCATTTCTATGAGGATTTTAGACTTTTTTCTTTTGATGAAAACAAGAAAAAACTAAATTGATGGTTTGATTCCTATCATTTAGATTCATATATTTATTTTAAGCTTTTTCTTTGATACATTGTGCTGACATTTAAAAAAAATAATTTATCACTAATTGTTTTTCCTCTGTTTCTGGGTTTATGTATTAGAAGGGTGATAGAACAGATCATGGTACATGTTTGAGTTTTCATTCATCTGTGCCAGTTCACAACACTCACTATAAATATATCTGAATATAAATATATTTCAGTGGCTATAGTATAGGATACTGTGACTTATTTTTAACTTTCTGATTCCTTTAGTACTTTTATTATATTTAATTCCTACACTTTTTAAGTTAGATTTTCCTGTAATACATTCAATATAATTTGATAAAATTTAACTCAGTGGATTTTGAGAGATTACTTTTTTGGGAAGCAAAATATGGTTCTTTAGTTGATCCAGAACCTCCTACAATTTCAGTTTGTTACAAAGAGTGATGGAGAAGCTGCTACTTCATGACATCATTCTTACCTTTTAAGTTAGATATCTGGTTGAGTATTATAGAGAATATTTTTAATGTATATTAAACTTGTTCTTAGTTGTCAGTACATTTTTTACGTCATTTATCTACCATTTACCTAACATTTAAGCATAATTATACTATACTGTTTTCTCCTCTCATTTAGAACTCCTTTGGAGTGATATAGTTAAATAAAAGTAAACATTTAAATGTTTTTTCTTTTTAGAAAGTCCAGATTAGGAAATTATCTTAAAAAAAGCAAACAACAAGATATACCCTTTCCTAAAATATTGCCATTAGCAGAGCCAATTCTAGAACATAGTACCTATAAAATAATGCTCTGAAACATAGTAGCACAGATTTAAAAGGCTCATGTATATCGGTCATTAAATACAGTATTTATTTGGGCTTCAATGCAGAAAAAAAATTTTAAGTTTCAGAAGAGAGATTTTCATTTTTATATTGAAATAAATGTTAATGGTCCAAATGAAGAACAAATAAAATTTTGACATAGAGTTAGTCAACACACATGGTTTGCAGTTCCTATTAAAGAGAATATCTTGACCTACATCTTTTCTGCTTTTGTATGATAGATATATCTTAGAAATGATTTGAGGTTACCCAGGGAAAGTATAATAACATTTGTCAAGACAAAATCTCTCATGAAATAATTCATGGAACAGAAACTCATCAAGCAGCAGAAGAAATGTCCAGCTTCTTAGGTAATGGAAAAATATTTGGCACTAGCAAATAGAAATAATGGAAGAAGTTTTCATTTTGAATTTGTAAGAACTATATCAAGGAGAGGATAAAACCTTATATAAATATATAGAAAAGTAGGCTTTTCAAAACAGTTATTAAGTGGATCTCAAGCTAACACCCTATATGCTTCAAAAAGAAAGGTGTTAGAAACATGAAAGAAATTTAGAAATCTTTTGAGGAATAAGGTATATTTAGCCTTAGATCTAATGTGTCATAAATTTATAATTTATATAATGTACATATAGGAAATATAGTCTCAAATATGTTGTAACAGCAGTTTGTTGATTTTCAAGATGAAAATAGCATTTTTGTATAGTTAAAATGTTATATAAAAGAGTTTGTTAAGAAAACAAAATCATTTGAAAAGGAACTACTTAGTATTTAAACATTTCTAGCCATGTCATTCTTAAATTCTTCAACTAAACATCCTGAGAATCAGTAACCCTATGTCTCTTTATAGATATTTCTAGAAATTAAGACATTATGTCATCTGGATGTGAAACCCTTTTTAGGCACTTCGTAATGGAAGTTATTTTTTTGTGACATAGACAACCAGAAGGATATGCAACCCAAAGGAATTAGAATGTCATCTTAAGACTTCTGAAGAGTAGGCCAAAACAGTGGATTTACCTTTTAGATGTCATTTAAAAGTAAAATCCCATTAAATCCATTTAAAAGTAAAATCCCCAATTAACTGCTCCTCTCTTGTTTGTTCTTCAGACATCATGCCTTAAAAATTAGTAATTTCATTGACTACTTTTCCAAGAATTAGTTGACATTTTCATTGTTTTATGTGTCTAAAGATCTAAATATATATATATGTGTGTGTGTATATATATATGTTTCATCTTTACATTTGAGCCTTAGAGGTCCTGGCGTCCTGGGATCGAGTCCCACATCGGGCTCCTTGCTTGGCAGGGAGCCTGCTTCTCCCTCTGCCTCTGCCTGCCTCTCTGTCTGCCTGTGCTCGCTCACTCTCTCTCCCTCTGTCTCTGTCAAATAAATAAAAAAAAAAAAAAAAAAAAAAAAAAAGAATATATATACTTGTCAACTCACTTAGCAGTCTTCATCCCAAATGAAATACTTTGTTTTACTGAAATAGTAAAACTCGTTTTCATCTGTTTATCCTCAAAAATATTAGCTTGGCTAGCATAAGTGAATATAAAAACTGTATCTTGCTAGTTCATTGACATATGCTAAATTTTCCTGGTATTTCAAACTAAGTGTTCCCTTTTCTTATTATAAGATCAATAGGTATTACAAACATTTGGAAAAATGCAGAAAAATAGGAGAAAATAAATAACCCATAATCTAGTCACTCTATAGAACTGCTTTTAGCATTTTGCTATATTTACTTTTCAACAAATATTTGGGGAGTATACATAGTTTCTGTAAGTGAATATTTTTGCTTTGATTTTAAAATAGGTAAAAAATGATGTAATTGTAGGTTTTCATAGATAAGAGCAAATGTATTGAGAGCACATTGTATTGAAAGCAAATGTTTGAATTTCTACCCAGAATGATGAAAATAGGATTTGTTTCCCATTGTTCCAGTTTCAACTCTTTGATTCGTAGAATTTATTCTTCTAGGGCCTTTTAAATGACTTACAGAGGTAATCTTTGACTTATGTCTGTCAAACTTAAATGAATATGGCATTCCTTGGCCAGTTAGGATCCAGTCTTTCTCACCTTAATATTTTAATAGATGCTCTTTTTTTCTTCTCCTTTCCTTTCTTTGTTCCTTGTTTTTTCCTATTTGCTTTCAATAACGACTATTTTCTTAGCACCTTTGGTTTTAGGAATTGTGCAAGTTTTAGGGAGTATGAAGATGATGGAGCACAGTACTAGCCCTCAGAACTCTCCTACTTACCTTGTCAGTGTTAGTGCATTCCTTTGCATTCCTTCTTTTCTCCATTCTTCTTTCCCTTTCCTAGCCATGAGTTTCACCCCAGTCCCTAGTTCCATTGAGAATACGGTATTTCCTCCTCTTGTTATTGATAATAGAGGCAACAACTTGGTTGGAGATGAAGGGTTAAACATTAGGGCCATTTTTAAGGCTTCTTAGCCACCATTGCTCTTCTTTGATTCATAATGTTCCTCCTGGGACCTATTTGTTTTTGGAGATTTTTGTCCGAGGTCATCTCTTGGCTCCTGTATTTTCAATGTGAGTCATATAGAAAATGTTATAGGCCATGACATTTTATTTTATTTTATTTTAAAGATTTATCTATTCATTTGGAGGAGTACAGAGAAGAGGGAGAGAATCTGAAACAGACTACCTGCTGAGCTCAGAGCCCAAAACAGAGTTGATCTCAGGAACCTGAGATCTGAGCCCAAACCAAGTCCAACCTTAACTGACTGAACCACCCAGGAGCCCCTGCCCCCTGGCTCTATTTTAAAATACACATGGATAGGGGTGCCTGGGTGGCTCAGTCAGTTAACTGTCTGCTTTTGGCTCAGGTCATGATCCCAGGGTCCTGGGATTGAGCCCCATCTCGGGCTCCCCGCTCCTTGCTCAGCCAGGAGTCTGCTTCTTTTTCTCCCTCTGCCCCTCCCCCTGCTTATGCTCTCTCTCTCTCTCTCTCACTCACTCTCTCTCAAATAAATGAATAACATCTTTAAAAAAAATGTACATGGATAATTTTAAGTCTATTTTAGAACTAGTAGTATTGTTTTGTATTTGTCATATTTGCAGTACTTCAGATTAAATGTATTGACGTAAAGTCCTAACCACCATTTTTTTTCTTTGAACATACATTCCACATAGCAAATGCATAATAAACAAACATTAGAAATACAATTTTTAAAAATTAAAAAAATTAAAAATTAAAAAATTTTAAAAATACAGTTTTAAAGAATAGATTTCCTATCTGTAAAGCCCAGTTATAAAGATTTTATATGCTAAGGACTTTAATTATTTAATCACAAATATAAATACTCTGAAAAATTACACTTCTAAGAAAGATAGTTTAGAGTAATTCTAGTTCCCCAATACAAATTGGGTTACTGATATTTTATTATAATTTTTTCAGAAAAATTACTGAGAAAGATATCCAAAAGAATATGTATGCTACATGTAGTTTTAATTGTTTTATTAAGGCCTTTTGTTTATTTCTTTTTGCTACCCCCACATATCTTTTGCCTTGCAAGTCTGATTAGAAAATAATAATAGTTAATCTTGTAGCTTTAAAATTTGTTTTGACTGAAGTACAATGTGAAAGGTTACAATGACATCAGCTATTCTCTTAACCTGTTATTCCTGGCTTATTACATTCAATCTTCCTTCCCACCACACATATGTATTTTTCATTTTTGTCTTGTATAGTTAAATTTTATTTAAAACTTTTAAGAGATACTTTGCTTATGGAATGTATCTTCCTTTAGGCTGTATTGTCAGTAAGATAATTAATTGCTTTTAATGTTACTGCCTATTCTGTTTCTTCCTTTATCTTAGCTGACTTTTGTAGAAAAAACTCATTTTGATACTTTTTCCATGTTGTGCTTTGACTTCTCAGAACACTGGAAAACCAAAAAGGAAGTGGAGTAAAGAAGAGCCCTATGTTGTGTGGACAGTATCCTGTTAAAAGTGAAGGAAAGGAGCTGAAGATAGTTGTACAGCCTGAGACCCAGCACCGAGCTCGGTACCTGACTGAGGGTAGCCGTGGCTCAGTAAAGGACAGAACACAGCAAGGCTTTCCTACAGTAAAGGTACTTATTTTATTTTTCAGTATACAAAGAATTTCTCCAGTTTCGTTTTTAACCAGCAAAAGCTGCCTACAATAGAATAGTAGAATTATTAGATATATATAATGGAAATTAAAGCAAAAGTAACTAAATTGTAAGCCCATTATTGTTATTTTTATTTCATTTGAATTTTAGCTTAGATGAAAGAGGAAGTGAGAATGTATTCTGATAAATATTGGAAAATCATGAATTATGTTCTCCTTATATTTGACATTGGTAGCAACTGTATTCACTTGTTCCCAAACTTAATATTTAAGAAGATATTTTAAAGTGGATTCAAAAAAATATTATAGAAATTATTATGAGCTTGGGAAATAAGGTTTTGAGATGGCTAAAGAAATCAGGACTGTTCATCTCAGAAAAGAACTGGTTGAAAATAATTTAAGTCTTCAGTTTAAGAGTTAGGGTATTGGGGCACCTGGGTGGCTCAGTTGGTTAAGCAACTGCCTTCAGCTCAGATCATGATCCCAGGGTCCTGGGATTGAGCCCTACATCAGGCTCCCTGCTCAGTGGGGAGCCTACTTCTCCCTCTCCCTCTGCTTCTCTGCCTGCTTGTACTCTCACTCTGTCAAATAAATAAATAAAATCTATGTTTAAAAAAAAGGATTAGGATATCATTGGCGCATGGCTCTGATGGTTAAGCATCTGCCTTTGGCTCAGGTCATGATCCTAGGGTTCTGCAATCAAGTCCCACGTTGGGCTCCCTGCTCAGTAGGGAGACTGCTTCTCCCTCTGCCTCTCTCTCTCTGTGTCTGTCACGAATAAATAAATAAAATAAAAAAAAAAATTAGGATATCAGCTGGATCTTCATCTTTTCAGAATTTAGACTAAAAGAAAAAAGAAGCTTAAATTTCAGCACCTGGGAAACTTAGAATATTTCTCTTTGAAGACAAACCAAAAAAGAGTTGGGCGGGGAATATTTAATAAGTGTTTCTGTTTCTTATAAAACATTAAACAGGGTGGAATTTTGGCATAGTAAATTCTTGTTAAATGCAGTTTGTGAAAATGTTAGTTGAACAGTATTCAGTTGGACTGCCTTTCATTTTAAATTTTAATAAAATATGGTAGAATCTTGGGGTCAGGAAACCTGTCCGTGGCCATTTATAAGGTTGGTTAATATTCAACAACATCATTCTTTATCCCTCTGCTACTCTTCACACCAACCCATCCTTAGTCCCTCATACTCAGGACAAATAATAGGTGAATAAGAAATTTCAGTTATGCTTTCTGTAAATACTTATCTGACGAGAAGTGTTGATAGTTTGGTCAGTATTTTTAACCCAGTTGCTCTGTCTTTATGCGTTAAGTACTCTCTGGTCAGAAGTATTATTAGATTGTCTAACTGTGATAGGGAGTGAATTGCCTGACCTCAAAAGTTTATTTATTCTTTCATTCAACAAATATGCACCCCTTTATGTGCCAGACACTGTTCTGGGTTTGAGTAGATTGTTTATTTATCTGTTTATTTCCCTCGTTTTGATATCTTTTCACAGATAGAGCCATACGGGTTAGAAAAGATGTATGAATTTTTTTTTTTTTAAGATTTTATTTATTTATTTATTTATTTGTTTGTTAGAGAGAGAGAGAGCGTGAGCACAGGCAGACAGAGTGGTAGGCAGAGGCAGAGGGAGAAGCAGGCTCCCCGCAGAGCAAGGAGCCCGATGTGGGACTCAATCCCAGGACGCTGGGATCATGACCTGAGCCGAAGGCAGCCGCTTAACCAACTGAGCCACCCAGGCGTCCCCGATGTATGAATTTTTTAAAGCCTTTTGGTATACATTGTACAGGTTATTTTGTGACTTTATGCATTCTCTTTTAGCTCCTTCAGTATTTAACTATATAAACATGAACAAAAATCTGCATTGGAAACATTTTTCCCCAAATGCTGTTTTAAATATTTATTTATTCTTCACCATACAAATTATAATTTATGAAGGCTTGTTAGAGACCTGAAAGGACCCATAAATCCTGGTCTAAACTAACAGTTTTCAAACCATAATTTTTTTTTAAAGATTTTATTTATTTATTTGACAGAGAGATCACAAGTAGGCAGAGAGGCAGGCAGAGGGGCGGGGGGGAAGCAGGGTCCCCACTGAGCAGAGAGCCCGATGCGGGGCTTGATCCCAGGACCCTGAGATCACGACCTGAGCTGAAGGCTTAACCCACTGAGCCACCCAGGCACCCCCAAACTATAATGTTTTGGCCCATGATTTCATGATGGTGTGTGTGTCTATCTAATCTATGCAGATGAGCTCCATTTCCCTTTTATTTATATAGGAGCACTTCAGACACTTTCCTATTTACTATTAAAAGAGTAAAAAATTCAGTATGTGTATTCATTTGATGATGATAATAATGATGCCAGTAAAACAATTTAGTGAATTTTCCATTAGTGATGGTGGTAAATTTTGAATAACCCGCATGCTTTGGCAGTCCATAAATTTATAAATACCTAAAGGACTCTGTATTCATTTGCATCTAGTTGTACAAATTAATTATAAATGGTAATTTATCATTAAACATATAAATTTTCCTCAAAGTGTGATTATTTCAGAATTAAAACTTACGATTTCCTACAGAAACTTAGCCAACTCTCCTTTTTATGAAAATGTTGTACTTTTGTTTTTCTTGAGGATTTAAATTATTTCCTTATTGTTATCCAGTTATAGGACTTGGTCTTAAGTATTTGATTGGACAATTAGATTATTTGAAAGGCTAATTTATGTTCCGTGTTATCTCACTCCAGCTGGAAGGCCATAATGAGCCCGTAGTGTTGCAAGTGTTTGTGGGTAATGACTCTGGTCGAGTGAAACCACATGGATTTTATCAGGCCTGCAGGGTTACTGGGCGAAATACAACACCCTGTAAAGAAGTGGACATTGAAGGCACTACTGTTATAGAAGTTGGTCTTGATCCAAGCAACAACATGACACTGGCGTAAGTACTTACTATAAAAAAATGTTTCAGTATACATTACACTTTTGCAGGGGGCTCAAAAAAAATTTAGTTTTTAGTGTAAAAAAAATAAGACTTTGAGTATTTTATTAAAATGTTTTAAACATTACAATTACAGAAATAGATTATTGCAGAATGGTAATGGGTTAAAATGGACTCTTTTGCCCTTTGCCGTGGAATTCCCATGATGAAAGGCAAGAAAACAAAAGCCAGGTGGAATGCTGACTTTTTAAAAAATAATATGGACTTACTTTTTGGAATTAATAAAAGTAACATTAAAAAATAAAAATTACAAACAATTTGATTTGCTTTCCTAAATTCTGCCTTTTCTCCCCTCCTAAATTCTGCTTTCTTAGTGTTTGCGTTAGAAACTTTGATAGACCATTCGCGGTACCTTGACCCATCTTGATGTGAAAAAGCATATTGTGTTTATTTCACCTTCTGTGTTTATTTTCCTATATTAAAAAAGAGTATTTTTGGGGCGCCTGGGTGGCTCAGTGGGTTAAGCTGCTGCCCTTGGGTCAGGTCATGATCTCAGGGTCCTGGGATCGAGCCCCGCATCGGGCTCTCTGCTCAGCGGGGAGCCTGCTTCCTCCTCTCTCTCTGCCTGCCTCTCTGCCTGCTTGTGATCTCTCTCTGTCAAATAAATAAATAAAATTTAAAAATAAATAAATAAAAAATAAAATAAAAAAGAGTATTTTTTTCATCTTATGGATTTTCATTGCCTAAAAAAATATTAGAAGTGTTAATGATATGAATTAAAAAATTTTTCCCTTAAGCCTTTTGCTAAGGTCCTTTAATCCTAAAGTTGAGCCGTAACAGCAGCAGATATATTGAAAAGGGGTAGACTTACATTGTAATTATTTGTATTAGATAGCTAATGACATTTCTGTATTTAATTCTGAGTTTCCTTTTGAAAGCCATTTTGAATAAGTTAGTAAGAGGTTAATTGGAAAGGGAAATTTTGAAAAATATTTAGTAAAGACTTATTTTTTAACTTTTGAAAATTGTAAAAATAAACATATGTAGTGGAAGAAAGGAAGGAAGTTACTGGTTATAAAAATAGTGCTTATTCACTATAAGTTGAAAATACAGAACAATAAAAAATAATAAAGAAAAATAAATAATAAAAAACTAAAAACATACCTCTCAAAAGCCAACTTCCCAGAAATAACCACTTTTTTTTTTTTTTTTTTTTTTTTTTTTTTTTTTTTTTTTTTTGAGAGAGTAAGCGAACAAGAGAGAGAACATGAGCTGGAGGAGGGGCAGAGGGAGAGGGAGAAACAGGCTTCCCTTTGAGCAGAGAGCCAAATATAGGGCTCAGTCCTAGGATCCTGGGATCATGACCTGAGCCAAAGGCAGCTGCTTAACCGACTGAACCACCCAAGTGCCCAGTAACCACTATTTTGATATGTATTTTTCTATTCTTTTTTTCTGATAACATTGAAATAATACTGTACCCATTGTTTTGTAACCTTGCTTTCACTTACCATCAGCATATTCCATATAGTAAATATTATCTTATAGCATATTTTTTTAATACATATGTTTTAATGGCTATATAGTGTTCCGTTCTTTTGGAAACAGTTGCTAGTTTTGTGTGTATGTGTGTTTTGTTTTTTGTTTTTTTTGTTGTTTTTTTTTTAGTAAAATTCATTCCCTTTATTTTAATATATAAATTTGCAAAAATAGAGGATGTAGTTATTAACAGGCAGTTAGGATGCCTGACTGGCTCTTAATGTCAGCATTGCTAGTTTGAGCCTCACACGGGGTATAGAGCATGCTTTAAAAAAAAATAAATTAAGGGGCATCTGGGTGGCTCAGTCAGTTAAGTGTCTGCCTTCAGCTCAGGGCATGATCCCTGGGTCCTGGGATTGAGCCCCTGCTCAATGGGGAGTCTGACTCTCCCTCTCTTTCTGCCTCTCCCCTGCTTATTCTCTCTCTCTCCAATAAATAAATACAATCTTAAAAAAAATAGAAAAAATAAATTAAAAATTTAAAATGGCAAAAGTATCTCTTATAAACCCTTATGTTCAGATTTTGAAATAGTGATTTTGCTTTACTATTTTTCTACTATTATTATGAATGAAAATTCGGCAAGAATTATGAATATTCAGAATTCACCCTTCCATACTTTTTAAATGTGGAAACTTATGATTGTATTACATTTTCAAAAAATTAATAATTAGCAAATTTTTTTTTAAAAGAAACTTATTTGGGGCATATGTGTGGCTCAGTCAGTAAAGCATCCGACTCTTGATTTCAGCTCAGGTCCTGATCTCAGGGTTGTACGTCTGAGCCCCCGTCAGGCTCCACACTATGTGTGAAACCTGCTTAAGAAGATTCTCTCTTTCTCTCACCACCCCCTTCTGCCCCTCCCCCCCTAAAAAAAGAGGCTTATTTGGTTAAGAATATTGTACTATTTATAAAACAGAAAATATCAGTTAATGTCTTTTTCTTTGTGTGTTAGGGTGGACTGCGTAGGGATATTGAAATTGAGGAATGCTGATGTTGAAGCCAGAATAGGAATTGCTGGTTCCAAGAAAAAAAGCACTCGTGCCAGATTGGTTTTTAGAGTTAATATCACGAGGAAAGATGGCTCCACTTTGACACTGCAAACACCCTCTTCTCCGATTTTATGTAGTAAGTAAGAAAATATGTATTGAATTTTTTTCATTTTCTGTTAATTTGCAGACATCTCTAAATTTCAGATGTATCATATGTTCTAGCTTGTGATCTTGCAAAACTTGAAACATTTTAAAAAGCTGTAGTCAAATTTTCTAGACTAAAAGGTGGATAATATCAAATAAAATTCTAAAGGTGTATAGTATTTTGTAGTTCCCTATTATCCCATACTAATTTTAAAAGTAATTTGAGGGGACGCCTGGCTGGCTCATTCGCTAGAGAATGTGACTCTTGATCTCAGGATCATGAATTCAAGCCCCCGACACTGGATATGGAGCCCGCTTAGAATTTTTTTTTTTTTTTTTTTTTTTAAGTACTTTAGGGGCACCTGGGTAGTACAGTTGGTTAAGCTTCCAACTCCTGATAACAGCTCAGGTCTTGATCCTCACAGTCATGCATTCAAGCCCCGTTGTTGGGCTCCATGCTTAAGAAAATGTACTCTGAATGGTTTACTTGAAGTAAATTATAAATACAAAGGATTTTTTTGGTGTATCTTTATTGTGTGGTAAATTGCTGTGATCCTAAGTCTATTTTCTATTAGAACATAAGAAACACTAAGGTAAGCAGAACTTTGTGAATATACAGTAGTTGGGAGTTCTGATTACAAATTATGGCATTAAATTACAGTGTTGGGAAGTGGGAAATAAAATTCTTACTTTGCTCAACTTGGCTTACCTTGTATGGATTCCATTCTATAGTTGATGAAACTGAGACTTACAGAGATTAAATAACTCCTTCAAGGTCACACAGCTAGCAAATAGTAAGACTAGGATTCAGAGCCTCTGCTTTTAACCGCTATGCTCTTTTGTCATTGTAATCACTTAGAATGGCAATGCTGAAACCAAGTTTAAACAATTCATTTCATCCTAACCATAGCCTCTGGGTCGTTAAGACTATGGTTAAAAAAAGAGATTATTTGGGGCGCCTGGGTGGCTCAGTGGGTTAAGCCGCTGCCTTCGGCTCAGGTCATGATCTCATGGTCCTGGGATTGAGCCCCGCATCGGGCTCTCTGCTCGGCAAGGAGCCTGCTTCCTCCTCTCTCTCTGCCTGCCTCTCTGCCTGCTTGTGATCTCTGTCTGTCAAATAAATAAATTAAAAAAAAATTATTTAATGAACCATTTCCCCTACCTAGGAGATTTATTGGTGTAGTTTAGATTTTTTATGAATTAAAATAGATCTCAGTTCATATTGGGGGATTTTCCTTGAATACCTATATTTTCCCTTCCATTTCTTTTTGTAGAAGTCATTTATTATGGAGGTGTAGAATATTTATTTTTATTTCTCTAGTTGACTATTTGTCACTCTTCATCTGCTTAGAGAAACTGGATTCGATAAACATGAACAATAATTTCTTTGAAAGAAAGGAGTACCAAAAAGGATGTGGTCTTGCCATTTGTGACAACACAGATCAATCTACAGTGTTTTATACTGAGTGAAACAAGTCAGACAGAGAAAGACACATACTATATGATTTCACTTATATGTAGCATCTAAAAACAAAACAAATATGAATAAACAAAGTAGAATAAGACCTATAAATACAGAGAACAAACTGGTGGTAGCCAGGTTGCTGGGGGATGAGCAAAATTGGTGAAGGGGAGTGGAAAGTACAAGCTTTCAATTATGGAATGAAAGAAAATAAAGGTGGTGCAACATAGGGAATATAGTGAGTAGTATTGTAATAGCATGGTGAGAGATGGTAGCTATACTCCTGGTGAGCATAGCATAAGGTATAGAGTTGTTGAATCACTGTATTGTATACCTGTAACTAATGTAACATTGTATGTCAATTATACTCAAATAAAAAATTACTTTTGAAAGAAGGAAAAAAATTTTTTAAAAGGGGGGGTACCTTGGCAGTTATAGTTCCCATACTTCTTTTAGTTTTCAAATACGTTTACATGATAATTTTCACATTTATTTCTTATTAAAGTTATTTTTATAGACTTTCATACAAACAGGGTTTTTTTCCTTAAACTAGCTTAAAATATTTCTAATAGTAACTTCTATGAATATCAATTACATCTAATCATTTAGGTAAGAATCTAAGCCTCCTTTTTAAAAAAAATACTTATTTAAGTAATTTCTACCCCCAACTTGGAGCTTAAAGTTACGACCCCAAGATCAGGAGTCACATGCTCCTCTGAGCCAGCTGGGTACCCCTAAGCCTCCTAAACTGTACATTCCTAGTGAATCAGTGATTTGGTTTTTTGAAAAGCTATCATTGTATGTAATGAATGTCATCATTCTTTGTTTCTTACTTGATCAATTTTACTTGATCTTCATGGGTTTTCATTAAATACAGTACCTAGCAGTCTGTAGATTGATCAATCTTTTTATTTTTTAATTGGCAACAAAATGATATATTTTTAATTTTTTATTACTTTTGTTTAAATATTAAACTAGATGTACAGAAAAAGGTAATAATGTCAATATTACTTTCACAGTATTATTTTATCTCTCTCTTATACTCTGTGGCTTATATATATATATATTTTTTAAAGATTTTATTTTATTTATTTGACAGAGATCACAAGTAGTCAGAGAGATGGGGGCGGGGGAGGGGGTGGAGCAGGCTCACAGAGAACCCAGTGTGGGGCTCCATCCCAGGACCCTGAGATCATGACCTGATCCGACAGCAGAGGCTTAACCCTATGAGCAACCGAGGTGCCCCTACTCTGTGGTTTATAAAGCACTTTCATGTATGCTGAGGTCTTAGGAATTTAATAAATGTTTACCTTATAATTGGAGTTAGACACATGGGAGTTGAGAAATTGAGATGATAATGCCAATTTAACTACTGATAAAACTGTTAGAAAGAGGACTTTTTCATCCCAGAGTAGGGTATATCTATCCATCCAGTCAGAGCAGTTGTAGGCTTCTTAGCCTTCTACAGTTGTAGGCCTCTTAGCAACTGTCATAAACCATCTAAAATGTCTGCTTTGGGTCACCTGGGTGGCTCATTTGGTTGAGCGGCTGCTCAGGTCATAATCGCAGGGTCCAGGGATGGAGCCCCAAGTCAAGGCTCTTAGCAAGAGCCTGCCTCTCCTTATCCCTGCCACTCCCTTTGCTTGTACTCTCTTTCTGTCAAATAAGTAAATAAAATATATTTTTTAAAAGTTTAAATAAAATGTATGCTTTGTGCATGTAGGCAGTTGCAGAAGAGGGAGGAAAGAAGACTGGGCTAATCATGCCTAAGCCCTGGTTCCAAATCCACTGTAGTTAAGTCATTTTTCCTCTCTAGTGAGTATTAATCTAATGGAGTTCCTATTAATAAGAGTACTACATTATCCCATTTGATCTGGAAAACAACTCTGTTATTAATAAAATAGAAATGATTATTTTCATTTTTTATGTAATAGAATAGGGACAAAACTGTTGAGAGTAGGTAGATAAGAGAAAATCTGATTTTTTTTGTTGTTCATTGTTTTGAGCTGATATCTCCCATAAAATATAGGAAAGAGGGGCGCCTGGGTGGCTCAGTGGGTTAAAGCCTCTGCCTTAGGCTCAGGTCAAGATCCTGGGGTCCTGGGATCGAGCCCCGCATCGGGCTCTCTGCTCTGCAGGGAGCCTGCTTCCTCCTCTCTCTCTGCCTGCCTCTCTGCCTACTTGGGATCTCTGTCTGTCAAATAAATAAATAAAATCTTTAAAATATATATATAGGAAAGAATTAATTTTTATCAACTTTAACATAATAGTGGATATACATTTTAAGTTGTATAGCTTATAATTAAGGTTCAGTATATAGGCATTTAATTATCTTAAATTCGCATACAGTTAGGTTCATGCTTTCCCATAATATTTTTTTTTCTTTTTTCTTTTATAATAGTTTACTGAGATATAATTTGCATACCATGCAGTTGAGCCTTTTAACATGTACAGTTTTATCATATTCACAAAGATGTATGACTGTGACCATTATCTAATTTTAGAACGTTTTTATTGCCACCAAAAAAAGAAATCCTGTACCTCTTAGCAGTCACTGTTCATTCCCCTGTTATCCCAGACCCTGGAAACCACTATTCTACTTTCTACTGGATTCTGCTGGATTTGCCTACTCTGGACATTTCCAATAGGGGCCCTGGGTGGCTCAGTTGGTTGAGCGGCTGCCTTCGGCTCAGGTCATGATCTCAGGGTCCTAGGCTCCCTGCTTAGCAGGAATTCTGCTTCTCCCTCTCCCTCTGCTCCTCCCTCCCTCTCTCCCTCTTCCCCTCCCCATCTGCTATTCCCTTTGTCTCTCCCTGTGTGTGTGTGTGTGTGTGTGTGTGTGTGTGTGTGTGTGTGTTATGAAGAAGTAGCAAGATTTGAAGCTAGTAGAGCTAGGCTAGATTTGTTTTATAGGAACTTGTGTGTTGAGCTAAAGAATTTGAATTTTAACCTGTCCACTTTAGGAAGCCTGAGGCTTGCACTTAGACTTTAGAGGGGGGAATATGAGGGAAGAGAAAAAGTAAACATAAAAATAATACACAGTGAAAGGGCCCCCAAAATCCTTTTATTTAAAAAATTTTACAAAAGAATGTTCCATTATGGGTTCCTGGTTTATGTTTATTTCCATGAATATAACCTTTTTGATAGGTTTAAGCAATTGGAATAGAAAGAGAGGTAAAAAGGAAATAGGTTAGTAAGAAGGGTTAGAATTGGAATGGGAGGTAGAGGGAAACAGGAAGATGAGAGGGAGGTAGAAGAGGAATAGGGGCCAAAAGGTGATAGAGGTGGAAGGGAGGAGAGGAAGCAGACATTTGGTCTTCCAGCTAGAGACACTCAGTGGAAAGAATGCCTATTGCCAGAATTCATGTTGTGCTTTGTGACACTGAAAAAGAAGGTCTGCTTTTACTTGCTGGTTTAACAATGACCATTAGATCCACTACCTGTTTTTTTGTTTGTTTGTTTGTTTTTAAGGGGATAGAAGAATTATCACCTTTTATTTTCTTGACCTATTTCTATTTCTCCAGGCAATACAGGTATACATGGTTTTTGTTTGTTTTTGTATATTGCGTGCATTATGTGGTGATACTATATCAAATTAAGAATATCAATTTTCATACTTTTTTAGTATCTTCCCTACTATGCTAATTTTTAAGATATAACAAAATTAATTAGGCTTTCTTCACAATAATATATAATAGATTAAATCTGACTGAATTTCATAAGTTTCTACTTCCCTTATTTCTCTGTATCCCACAACTTTAGGAAAAGGATAATATCATTGGGTAAACTTTCCTTCTCTTCACAGAGATTATTAAAAAGATTTACTAATTCTTTTGGCATGTTGAAATATTTGCTGTTATTTTTCCGTATTCATATATTCATTAAATTTTTTCAGCTTTATTTTTGAGGCTATTATTTGAAAAGCATCTAGAAGCATATTGTTTTTATAGTACCAGAGAATTGGCTGCTTTTTTTAATTTTTTTAATTGGCTGATTTTTTTGTGTTACAATTTTTTAAGCAGTACGATCACTTTCAAGAGCTGGCTTAGTAATTACTTAAAGATAAAATAAAATAGTTAATGCTTAAATAATACTGACTTTGGTTCTGTTTAGAATGGTGTTGGGGCTGTTAGGTAACCATTAAACTTTTTAATAGAAAAGACCTTCTAAGGTCAAAGGTTAAAAGTTAAATTATCTTGAACAGTGACAGATGACAGACTAGTTCTTTGTGTAATGTAAATACAAATATATAGAAGATATATACATGATGTACCCTCCAAGGAGCCTCATTTGGCCATCATAGGCCCTTAATACGTAAAAGGAAAAATGAGATAGGAAAAAATAAAAGCTTTGATAAGCATCAGTGGTCTGGAATTTCCACATAGTATTTGAAAATGAGGGGAAGGGTTGTATACTTTCCATTCATTTCGTTAATACAATATAGCCATATAATTGTCATCTCTTATTGTTTTCTAATCAAAATAATATTTACTGGGGTACCTGGCTGGCTCAGTCAGTGGAACATGGCAACTCTTAATCTCGGGGTTGTGAGTTCAAGCCCCATGTTGAATGTAGAGATTACTTTAAAAAAATCTTTCAAAAAAATTTTACTGTGTTTTTCTTGAATGTCCTTTAAAAACAACTGTTGAGTTCCACTCTTACTCTAAAAAGCTGTAAATAAGTTCAGTTAATTCTTCATTTACAAAAGGGCATATAACTGCCGGTATTTGACCAGTAACGGTTTCCATTCTCTTCATATATTAATCCTGTGGGTTCTAACCAGTATATATGGATATACATTCACAATTTCTTTTAAACTCTTAGACACTGCTGAAAGTGTCATTTGCCATTTAAATGTTTAATAAGCGCAGGATACTTACTTGTTTGTATCAGTATGTGAGGCTAAATGATGCTGCAGTAACACCAACAACAAAAAAACTCAGTGGCACTCAACAACAGTTCTGTTTCTCTCTCACTTTATGATAATACTGGCTATGGTTTGGAAGCAGGGCCGTTCTCTTCACTCTAGGATCCAGGCTGAAGAAGCTGCCCTTATCTACAACACTGACATTTTTGTAGTAGAAGGGAAAAAGGAAAAAGTGGAACCATGTAAGGTTATAAAAGCTCTTCCTTGGAACTGGCATATTATTTCAGTTCACATTTCATTATACAAATGAGTCACATGGCCAGTTCTGACCTGAGTGGCACAAGAATTATAGCCTTCTCACAAGGAAGGACCAAGAGAAAGAGGGGCAGTGAATAGTTTAACAATAAAAATTTCCCATATGATATTATTAAAAGGATAAAATTAACTATTTAAATATGTAAGTGTCTACAGAGAAAAAAGTTAAACTTTTCCTAAAGTGTAGTGGACTCTAATTAATTTAGAAATTGGTGAGTTATACAAGCCAAATTTAGTTTACCTTTGCAGTGCTTATGTTGTGAGGTTTTACTAAAACAACAGATAGTGTAATCTATGTGAAAGAGCTTAACCTCCTGGGGAACAGTTTTTTTGGATACTTAAAAGGTATTTATTTGCATATGCCAGCATCTCAGAGTATTTTGGTGGAAAACTAGTCCTTAAATGTCAATAAGGAAGAATTTTTTTTTGTTTTTTAAGATTTTGTTTATTTGAGAGAGAGAGAGGGATTGAGAGAATGAGTGGAGGGGCAGAATGAGAAGCAGACTCACCATAGAGCAGGGAGCCCAATGTGGGACTTGATCCCAGGACCCTGGGATCACGACCTGACCTGAAGGCAGACGCTCACCCAGGCACTCGAAAGGAAGAATGTTTTTGGAGTCAAATATATTGGGGAACCTATATACTATATTCGTTATTGGATATTTATAGCGTTTATCAGAATATTAAATACTTTGAGAAAGCCTTTTGTTCATTTAGTTTTGCTTTAACCCAGTATTTTCCTAGATTTACTTAATTTAGGAACCTATTTTGCTAATTAATACCTATTAAATTTTCTTAAGGAAATCCTGGCATGAGAAAGTTGGTAGGCTAATTGTAATTTATTCATTAGATCTGTGCCCTCAGTACTTTACAATTCTTTTGTTTATTTTAGTAGTGGTTACTTAGTCTTTATGCACTAGTTTTTCAATTGTTTTATTTTTTAACCTCAGGTTATCCTAGTTCAGGGAGATCATCTGGTAGAAAAAACTATTCTGAATTGGATTCAGTCAGTTTCTAGGTATTCTTTTGGTGTGGGGCCTCTGAGTCCTGGGTGTAGATCCTTAAAGAAGCCCTCAGTACCACCTAGGGGCAGATACTGCCTCAGAAGTCTTGTAATGGCAAAAACATAGCTGACATTTTTGAGGTTAGGATTGTGGGACAAGCTTGTTTTAAATAGAATTTTTAAAAAATATTGAGACAAAAAAAATTTAAAAATATTAAGACTAAGTACACATCTTAAAACTTGTTTATTATTCACATAACGATAAAACAAAGATGACATATAAAACCTCCTCTTAGGCATTAGTCCATCTCTACAAAGTCTTATCAGAGTTATTAAAAATTTAATATGGATTTTTCCTGTTTTTTTTTTTCTGTTAGGGTGAAAGTTAAGTTGCAAAGTAAAGGAAGTTAAATTCAAGGGTCAACAAAGACAATTTCTAGAACTGATTTTAGAAAAGAAATAAGTGTTGGTGGTTCTTTTTATGGAATGCTTATGTGTACCCACAGCTCAGCCAGCAGGAGTGCCAGAAATCTTAAAGAAAAGCTTGCATAGCTGTTCAGTGAAAGGAGAGGAAGAAGTATTTTTAATTGGCAAGAACTTTCTGAAAGGAACTAAAGTTATTTTCCAAGAAAATGTTTCTGGTAAGTAGGCATAACGCTGGTATGAAGATTGTTGCACGTTCTACTTTGTTTTAAAGATATAATAATAGCTACAAAATAAAAAAAGTTTTAAAATTTTAATAAATTACTGCTTTTATTTCAATCAGATGAAAACTCTTGGAAGTCAGAAGCTGAAATTGACATGGAATTATTTCATCAGGTATAATTTAAGCCTTTTTGTCATTTAATTATTTACTCTCTGAGAAATTCAGTTTTGTCCTGAAATTTTCCTGAATCAAACAGATTAAATTTCTTCTTTATGTGGGATTCATATAAATCATTTAACTTTCTTTCTTGAATTTCTGTAGCTGAAAATTCTACTAATGCTAGAAATGACAGTTCTCTATTTTTAAAAGTTTGAAGCATTAGTAAATAATTGTTAATAAGTGAAACATTTATTTCCTAATATTTGTTTTTTCTGAGGATTTGGATTATCCTAGCCTAATATTTAGTTTATCAAAGGGAAACTTATTTATTGAGTACCTGCTATGTCAGGGGTTTTATGTTTGTTAGTTACCTTTTCACAGAGGCACTGTTTGTTAAATTTACACAAAAGAGTCTGTATTGTAGGACCTCACCATGTATTGTTTTCAAAATGACAAGGAAAAAGAGCTTGAAAACAAGGATAAAAAACTGATTGAAGAATTAGAATGTAGAACAAATAGGACCAAACTTAGAGAAATTGAGACTAGCAGAAAAGGACAAATTTTTTAACAAATCAGGTAGAACGCATATGCAGAAGAGTAGCATATATAGGTGTGGATCACAGACAGAGAACAGCAGAGCAGGAATAAACTAATGTGTAAAGTACCTAAAGCCTAAAATTTACCATAAAATGTTGATAGGAGTAGAAAAGAGCACATGAAAACAAGTAGAGAGATGGAAGAGGCAAAAATTAGAGACTGGCCAATTTATCAAAACAGTTTAATCTTCTTAGTTTTTAAAATTTTTTAGTCCTTTGTATTTTTTTTAAATAAATTTTAAAATATGTATCCAGTAAAATACATTGCCATACTCAAAGCTAAGGGTACAGTGTTCCCTCATTTCAGATACTAACCAGCCACAAGTTCAGGGGTCTTCTGACCACTCTCATTTTTTTGAACAGTTGGCTTCAAACTTAGGGTTTCCCACTCCCCACTTAGATTTGCTAGAATAATTCACAGTACACAGGAAACACTATATTTAATTTCAGCTTTATTATAGCAAAAGGACACTAATCAGAACCAGCCAAAGGGAAAGACACATAGAGTAAGGTCTAGGAAGGTCCCAAAGGTGAAGCTTTTGTTGTCCTCAGGATGCTTTACACACTCAGCACATCTATGTGTGACAATATGCAGAGTACTTTTTTTTTTTTTTTTAAAGATTTTATTTATTTATTTGTCAGAGAGAGAGAGAGAGAGCTAGAGTGAGCACAGGCAGATAGAGTGGCAGGCAGAGGCAGAGGGAGAAGCAGGCTCCCTGCTGAGCAAGGAACCCGATGTGGGACTCGATCCCAGGACTCTGGGATCATGACCTGAGCCGAAAGCAACCGCTTAACCAACTGAGCCACCCAGGCGTCCCCAATATGCAGAGTATTAACAGTAAGGAAGCTCACCCAAGCCATTGGTGTCCAGAGTTTTTATTAGGGCTTGGTCACATACTGCCCAGGCAGCTAATCTTTAGTTTCCAGTTCCACCTGAGGTTGGAACTGATACGACATTGCAAAGTCCCCTTCATTAAATCACATTGTTGGACTGTCCAGTGACCAAAGCCCCCTGTCAGAAATACTCCTATCAGGCAGGAGTTTCTAAGGTCTTAGAGATTACCTTTCAGTAGCCAGGGGCAAAAACTAAACCATAGGGTAAAGTTAATTCTTCACAAAATAGTATCCTATTAAAGTGGAGCTTCTTACATACCTAGACAGATACTATGTAGAAAGTTTTCCTCTGTCTTTATGCTACTACATGCTGCGAAAGGGAGATAATAGGATGTAACAGTCATTCCTTTGTCACATACACTGTTGGGCAATCTCTGTCTTAACTGAAGTTATAGCACTTGCTTTGTCACTAGCAATCTCGGTTACCTCAATAAGACAAGTCACTTTCATGCCCTAGTTTCCTAATCTATGAATTTTTACTAAATTATTTAAGAAGTCCCCTCTAACTCTGACATTTTATGATTTCTTATATAACTTAGTTGAGCAGACTATTCCCACTTCCCATGAACCAACAGTGGCTTCCTTTCGAGGAGTCCCAGAGGTTAGGGACAATGTATTATGACTCTTCCCTGTTCCTCATAATATTAAGCACTCAACAGATACTCATGAAAAACTTGTTGGTTCATTTTATTCACTTTGAAGAAAATGAGGACTCGGGTCTGAGGTTCCTTATTCTTTTTGAGGGTACTTCAAACCCTAATTTCAACCAGGCTCTTACATGCCTATAGTTTTGGTCTTGACTGAAGCTTAATTTTTCCATGCAATACTTCTGTGTGTGCCATAAACATGTTTTGTTTTTTGATGAGTTGGTTAAATTAATGTAAACTCCTTTACAAGTAATACTGTTACAATTTCTCTTCCTTACCTTATCCTATAGCTAGTTCTAGAGACTGAGAAACTTGCCCTATAAATTATACAAAATATTAATAAGATAGCCCCAACAAATTATAGTCTTAACTTGCTGTCTCATGTAGAACCTAATGGTAAGAAATCTTTGTTTCTTCTCCTCCTCATCTTCTTCCTCCTTTTCTTCTTCTTCTGCATCTTCCTCCTCCTCTTCATCCTCTAACTCTTCCTCTCCCTCTTCCCCTCTCCTTCTTTCCTTCCTTCCTTCTTTACCTTTGAGGCATGGGGTAGTTAATATTCTTAAAACACTTTTTTTCAGGGTAGTTATGCCAGCTACAATAGATTAAAGAAGAATAATCATAAAAATAAGACATGGTGGAATGGAAAGGAATTAATGTCCTTATTTGGTGGCTATATCTAGAGGTCCTGGGGTTTTTGCAAGCAAGTATGTATAACAAACTAAAACATAATATGATCTTCCATTAATTCTGTGGTTGTGCTGTTCATTTTTAAATTTTAATTTTTTTCAGCAAGCTGTCTTTTTTTTTCCTAAGGGACTTTCTGGGATATGTTTTAGAATAGGATCACAGTGAAGATAAAAAGAATTGATCCAACGGATTATATTAAAGAAAAAAAAATTAAACATTTAGGGGTGCCTATCTGGCTCAGTTAGTGGAGCATGTGACTCTTGATCTAAGGATTGTGGGTTTGAGCCTCTGTGTGGAGATTACTTAGAAAAATAAAATTTTAAAAAATTAAACATTTAGAGGGAAGGGTACTCAGAAAACAAAAGAAAAGAAAATTGTAGTCAGTAAAGAAATACCAGACCCATACAGAAAAGCTGAAAGTACCTCTATGATATTAAAACATGACCAGAAGATGGTATAGTAGAAAAGACCATTTAAAGAAACTTGCAAATTGCAATTATGAATAATTGTGATAACTATTCATTTATAACCCCAAAATCAACTCCTCAGACATTAAACTTTTTTATTATTTAAATTTAAAAATTGAGGGGTGCCTGACTGGCTCAGTCAGAGGGGCTTGTGAATCTTGATCTCAGGGTTATGAGTTCAAGCTGCATGTTGTGTGTAAAGATTAAGAATGAATAAAACTTTAAAAACAGACTTAAAAATTGAGATTAATGAAGTCTGGGGAAACAGTTCTTTGTTTAATATCTGACTCTTCTATTCAAAGCCATAATATGTCTCAGGTACATGTATACCAAATGTGGTAGGCACAGGGTCATTATATCTATTCCCATTTTAATAATTTCAGATAAATTCTGTAGAAATTGCCTATTAAATATATACAAAAAGATATGTATCTTAAAGATCAATCTCTAAGAGATCTCTTTCACATATATTTTACATATACTTATATATAGTCTCTATGTGTGTGTGTGTATATATATATAAGACATACACACATATTAAGACTGTGTGTGTGTGTGTATATATATATGTATATATACAGTCTTAAAGATAAGTTGGTTATGAAAGAAAGCAAGAGAGTCTCACAGCTTGAAATACAGAGGTGATTTAAAGATGAGAACTAGGAGCTAGATATGGTCTTATTAAAAACTAAGAAGTATACAATTCGATTTAAGAATAACTTGTTTTATAAAACATAAAACAGGCATTAGTGTATCAAAAACACAGGTGTGTAGATTGTTATTTCTCAACCCTTAGTCTTCTGAGTTCTTTCTATTATATTCTTTAGAGGGAGAGAATAAAAAAAATAAGGAGAAACTTAGGAGTTTTGGAGAAGATGGAATTTTTAGTATAAATATGGAAAGACAGTTCTTGAAAGAAATGCCAGAAGAGATCCTCAGAAATTTGGGGGACATCTAAACTAAACAAAGCCTTGAGAATTTAGAGGTTATGTATTTTCAAATGATTTTATTAGGAATTTTGTTTTGTTATGTGTCTTTAATTATATATATGTATATATATCCCCAACTGCAAAATGAATGTGGCAGTGATAAATTATCATTTAGGAGAATGAAAAATATCTAACACCATTGCTTACAAGTTCTAAAAAAGATTATCTGCTGAGAAGAAGAAAATTGTTATTTTGAATCCAAGCAGATTTTTTTAAGAAATTAAAATTGGGATTGCTTCTGTTTTTCATAATTTTTTACAAAGATTTTTCTTTATTTATTTGACAGAGATCACAGGTAGGCAGAGAGGCAGTCAAAGGGTGTGGGGGGAGGTAGGGGGGAAGCAGGCTCCCCGCTGTGCAGAGAGCCCGATGGGGACCTTGATCCCAGGACCCTGAGATCATGATCTGAGCCAAAGGCAGAGGCTTAACCTACTGAGCCATCCAGGTGCCCCAGGATTGCTTCTGTTTTTACCCTAGAGAACATTGAAACTGCTCCAAGGGCCTCCCAACCCTTTGTATGTTTTATCTGTATTGTGCTGCTAGCTTAATGGTAGTTAATTGCTCTTAATTTCTTAAAATAGTATTTAAAAACAACTTCTCACTATTCATAATTTAGTTTTTAATTCAAATCACTTGGAGGATTTCTAGAATCAGATTGAGGGAGTACAAAGGAGTAGTATCAAAATAGGTTCATTTGTTTTTTTAAAGGTTTCAGATTAGGTTTAAGTATGCTCTCCAAAGCAAGTGGAGTGAAAATTTTTAAATAAAATATGCATCTGACTTTTAGATACTAATTCTGTTACTGATTACCAAGAAACAAGATCTTACTCAGAATAATAATTTCAATTACAGAATTTGCCAAATAATTTTAAGACTAGAAAGATACCTCACAAGTCCACCCATTCAGCCATCTCTTTAACTGTAGTTAAGACTGCTTTATGACATAGTGTTTAAACTAAAGAGTAACACTAAGAGTACACAGAATTTTACAACTGTTTATTAGAAGTTAGATCAGTGCAGATATATTTTTTGATGACCTCAGGTGCATTTGAATATGTATTTTCAGACTTTTGTTCCTCAATATCTATGGATACACACATTGCATATATGTTTTCTCATCTGTCTTAAAAATGATTTTTTTTTTTTTTTTGAAATGGCTAACTGGGCTTAGGACGCATAATGCCATAAATGAGAAGCTGTTTCTTTATTTGTAATGTGACTATTTCAGTGAGTGTTTTAAGATGGCTTAGAAACAAATTAAGTGCACAGAAATTGAAACCTTGACCTTGACCCCACTTGTCACTTGATCTGTCCGCCAAGTCCACCAACTCTAGTCTAGCTAAATAAAAAATGTCATCAGGGGTGCCTGGGTGGCTCAGTGGGTTGAGCTTCTGCCTTCAGCTCCGATCATTGTTTCGGGGTCCTGGGATCGAGCCCCACGTTGGGCTCTCTGCTCGGCGGGGAGCCTGCTGCCCCCTGCCTTTCTGCCTACTTGTGATCTCTCTCTCTCTCTCTCTCTCTGTGTGTCAAATAAATAAATAAATAATCTTTTTAAAAAAATGTCATCAAACTCTTGTCATTCTCATTTGTCAACTTTGGCCTCTTGCATATCACATCATCAGTAAGAAAACATAATCACTGCCCCTTAATATTCCTTCCCATTACTGTAATACACTAGGGAAGAAGAGCAAAACTCATATATGGTTCATGGTCTCCTTCAAGAAGATGGAGTCTCCTTGAATGAGTGCTGATGAAGGACTTATGAATTTTATGAGGATTCTTCTGCCACTAATCCAACAAAAAATAACTTTGATTTGCTAGAGTTTGGGTACACTGAACTCTATTTGACTTTTTTTAAGATTTTTTTTTTTAAATTTATTTATTTGACAGAGAGATCACAAGTAGGCAGAGAGGCAAGCAGAGAGAGAGGAGGAAGCAGACTCCCTGCTGAGCAGAGAGCCCAATGCGGGGCTTCATCCCAGGACCCTGGGATCATGACCTGAGCCAAAGGCAGAGGCTTTAACCCACTGAGCCACCCAGGCGCCCCATCTATTTGACTTTAAATGAGAATTAAAGTGGTTAGGAAGCAGTTGTGAATTGCATTGCAAAGTACATCTCACAATTGATGTTTTACAAAACATATGATAACTGACATTGTGCTTGGTGGACATATTTTTTCTCAAAATTTATTCATTCTTTTATTCAACAAATACATTTGAGTGTATTTGGTATAAAGTGCTTAACAGTGGATATAGAACAAAGAACAAAACACCCTAGGTTCTTATGGAGCTTAAATTCTTGTGATTGGAGAGAGACAAACAAACAAATAATTACAGTAATTTCAAGTGGTGATAAATGTTATTTTAGAAATAAACAAGATTATGTGACCAGATTGGGAAGGGGTGCTACTTTAAATAGAATGAAAGCCTCTCTGTGGAGGTAACATTTTGAATAAGACCTGAAAATGGGTAAGGAACTAGTCTTTGAAGAGGTGAAAGAATATTTCAATGGGAGAAACCAGCAAGTTGTAATGACTGTGAGGTTTAAAAAAAAAAAAAAATGAATTTAGGGTGTTAAAAGAATGGACTGAGAAGGTCAGTGTGGTCAGAGTATAGCAAGCCTGGGGGGAATGGAAAGAAGATAAAGTTGACAGGAGAAGCACCTTGTAAGCCATTGTAAAACATTAAAAGCAGTTTTAAGGTTAATGTCCTGATGCCTGTGAACCTGAGGTTTAAGTTGCATTTTTTTTTCCAGTCAGAGTTTTTTATACTTTACAGCTAACAAGAAATGTATTTAATTATAATTATTTCAAAATTTTAATTTAAATATTGCTTCTTTTTTAACTCTTGGTATTTCCTTTAAATTTAGAATCATCTTATTGTGAAGGTTCCCCCATATCATGACCAACATATAACTTTGCCGGTATCAGTGGGAATATATGTAGTGACCAATGCTGGAAGATCTCATGATGTTCAGCCATTCACTTACACTCCAGACCCAGGTATGTCAAAATAAAAAATTCTGAACTAAAATCAGTAATTAATTTCTAGTTCTTTGGAAGCATATGAATACCAGTGATCCAAAAAGAAAAAGTTGTGTGCTGAGATGAACTGATACTAAGGGCATTATTTCCGAAGAAGATGGCCACCAAATAATGTTTTTACTCCTAGGTGTTTTCTCTGCCTATGCTCTAATAGTAAAAAAGAAAAACTAGGAATGCTTTAAAGAATTATATCTTCAAAATTATATCATATAGATTACTTCTTAGTAAGAATTATCATTCATTAAGTACGTCTTACATGCGGTAAGTTCAAAGTGACAACCTTGGGAAACAATACTTCAGTCTGTGTCTGGCTTATAGGATGTATTTTGGGAGAAGTGAGAGATAAGCTTGGATTGATAAATGATAAAATCACAAATAGAGTTACATGCATGTAACAATTTCTAATTTGTGTAGTCAAAAATATCAAAAGACTGCTAGTTAATGAGTATTTTTTTTTAATGAGTATTTTAAATATAATTTCAAGCATTTAGAAACCAGAGCAATAAGAACAATTGAAATGTTTATAAGTTTAGAAGATCTCTGGGTAAGAAGTATCACAAGAATTTTTTGCCTACATTCATTTAGTTGCCTAGAGAAGGAAAACCTTTTCCTGGCAAAAGTGGGGAGAACATTTTGGAAAATGAAACTCTTCACAAGTTCCATTGACCTAGGTAGGCTTGGTTTCTGCCATGTTTACCATTGGTTCAGTTCATTCCAGTCTCGGGCACACTTCAGAATTAGCAGTTCTTCCATATTTGTAAGCTTATCATTTATGTTATTCCCAAATAGTTTCAGGAGTCAGTGAAGTCCAAAGTGAATAAAGGTGGCAGGGGAAAAAGAGTCCTGGCAAGAGAAAGCGATGGCAACAGTAACTGGGACAGTTATATCTAGTCTTACTAATTACTTTCTATCACTCACCTCTCCCCTTTTTAAAAAATCATGTCTGAATTTCACAGCATTTGCTTATTCACCATTTTGCTACAAAAGTATGCCACAGTATATAGCATTAATGAAATTAATATTTGTTTCAGAATAAAAGATTAGCAGTAAAGTTTTCAGACAGGAAAAGGCAAAGTTTAGAAGTAATAGTTTCAGTAAAAATAGGAAAGAATAGATACTCAAAGATCAAATATTTGGTTGTTTTCTTTCTAGGAAGGTTTCAAAAATCCAAGGAAGTTTGGCTTAAAACTAATGGTATTTAAAGCATTTTAGTAACAGCTAATTACTTAAATAGTGGCATTTAGTATATTTTGTGATGAGGAGCTTATTCATGTTGGGGGAAAGCTGGCATAATTGATACAGAAAAACATTTTTCCTAATGAGCTTCTCTATCATCTGTGTGGAAGGGAAGAGGGAAGTTTATATGTGTGGTCGGGGAATAGCCTTAAAGATTTTACAGTCCTGAGAATACTGACGTTTTATGGTTATTTGTTTGTTTTTACTAATCAATTATGAAGAACATCAGGACTTAGTATTAGCACTAAGAATCCTCATTTATTAGTAATACATGCTGATGATTAGAAATCCCCCTTTGAAAATTGTCAGATTAAACAACTTTTAAGTCTTCTGCTTTACTACATATACTAATCGGCCATCTTTGGCCACATTTTAAGTTTTTCCTTTCATATTTTGTATTCAATATAACATTTGGTATCAGAAACTCTTAAATAAATACATAGTATGCAAGCTTTGTAATAAGACCTTATGCTTCAGTTTCTGCCTTTATGTTATAGCTAATTAAAGAATCTTCCTATAATTTCACTTTTTTGTGTTTTATAAAATATAATCTTTTCAGGTATACATGAGAGAGAATATGATTTTGGGAAAACGTGGTTATAGAAAATTTGCACTATCTCATTATGATAAACCAATTGCTGTTGTGATTCATCTGGGACTGTAGTTAAACATTTGAATATTCAGTTGTGTAGAATTATAACAGCAAGAACTAGGCTTACCCTAATATGCACAAGTCAGTGTAGAAATGGCAACCATTATACTATTTGTCTCAATATTTAAAAGTTATGATTTGACTAAGATACTTTCATATTAACCTGGAAGTTGAGGTTTGAATTTAGGATTATCAGAATGCTTGGGAGTTCTAGGCCAAATATGGCAACATGAAGAAAAAGGATTCCCCAGCCTGCCAGCCTTCTTTTCTCTTTTTTTTAAAAAAATTTTTGGTAAAGATTTTTATTTATTTGTCAGATAGAGAGAGAGTGCACAAGCAGGGGGAGCAGAAGACAGAGTGAGAGCCAGGCTCCCCACTGAGCAAGGAGCCTGATGTGAGACTCTGTCTCAGGACCCTGGGATCATGACTGGAGCCAAAGGCAGACGCCCAACCAACTAAGCCACCCAGGCGCACATCTTTTTTTTTTTTTTTTTTTTTTAAATTTTGTTTATTTGAGAGTGAGAGAATGAGAGGAGGGAGGGTTGGTCAGAGGGAGAATCAGGGCCTGATGCAGCACTTGACACTGGGACTCCAGGATCATGACCTGAGCCAAAGGCAGTCTCCCAACCGACTGAGCCACCCAGGTGCCCTCTTCTTTTCCCTTTCTTAGCTTCATTCTATCCCTAGGGTGCCTTTGTGCACCAACCAGTGTTTCCAAGCTCTGTTCACTCTATAGGCTCAAGACTATACACATAGGCTAAAATAGTTATGCAGAAAATTTGGGGATCTTGGGTACTTGGTACATGGTACATGGTCTAAAAGTAGGATTAGGGCAGTGGTTCAAGTGAACAAAAACTGGCTCTGCACACACTGTCAGACATGAGCCTCTCTAAAGCCCTCTGAGTCTAGTACTCCTAAAAAACACATTGCATGTGCATGTTCTCAAACATTTAGATACTTTACAGGGTTGTAAAACTTTCTTTCATTGCTAGTCACCAAAGCTTTTACTTCCATCTGTTAAGACACACAAATCACATTAGCTGTTTTTTGTAGTGACTCAACAGTGGTGATTTCTATAAGAAATGAGGGATGTAAAATTTATGCTTTTTGTCGTTGTTGCTGTGACCAACAACTGACTAAAACTTGATTTTAAAAGTAAAAATTTGAAGTCTTTTCAAAGATTAGTTTCTATTTTAAAATCTGTAATTGTTAGGGCACCTAGGTGGCTCAGTTGGTTAACTGTCCAACTCTTGATTTCTCTGTTTATGATCTCAGGGTCATGGGATCAAGCCGGAGTCAGGCTCCACACTAGGCATGGAGCCTGCTTGAGATTCTCTCTCTCCCTCTGCCCCTTCCACCCCGCTCACACATGCACTTTCTCTAAATACATACATACATACATACATAAAATTTGTAATTGCTAGAATTAATGTTATGGTTTAAAATTGTGGGGGCGCCTGGATGGCTCAGTGGGTTAAGCCTCTGCCTTCAGATCAGGTCATAATCTCAGGGTTCTGGGATCGAGCCCCACATTGGGCTCTCTATTCAGCGGGGAGCCTGCTTCCCCCTCTCTGTCTGCCTCTCTACCTACTTGTGATCTCTCTCTCTCTCTCTGTGTCAAATAAAAAAAAAAACTTAATAAAAAATAATAATAAATAAAATAAAATTGTCTGTGGATTTCTTTTCCATTCAATTCTCTATATGTCGTTTGTTGGACCGCCTATGTAGCACACTAAGTTAAGTTATTTAACTTCATCCTTAGATGTGCACATTTTGTCTTTTTATTCACAATTAATTAGCTCTTTATAGACTCTTTATAAATATCTTTCACATTGTCATGTCAAAAATAAGAAATTAGAAAATAAGGTGGGTGTCCTGGCTGGTTTAGTCAGTAGCACATACCACACTTGATCTCAGGGTTATTAGTTCAAGGCCCACATTGGGTATATAGTTTACTTAAAAATTAGTCAATAAAAGTAAAAATTTAAAAGAAATTGAAAGTAAGGTGACTCATTTCCCATTCTGAATAAGTTAGGGAATATAAAATAAATACATTGAAAAATAGAAATTAAAATATTTTTTTAAAAATTACTGTATAGGCATTTTAAGCAGAAACTTGGAATTTATTTAACTTTATCATTTCAGAACTAAACCCTGTTCTTAGGCCCATTAAATTTTAAGTTGCCATAGTAGCTGTAGTTGATATGACTAGATGTAATAGTCCAGCGATTCTCCATTAATAATATACAAAGATTATTTTTTCCAAGGCTTTACAAAAGGAATAATTGTAATGTTACATATTCTCTATGTTCATCACAGCTTTTTTCAAATTCAGTTCAGTTAGTTGACAAATGTTTCTCAATCAGTTTTTTTAAGTAAATTACGTAGATGAATGGTGAATTTTTGTTATCTGGTATTACACTATATTTGATAATTTTTAAAAGTTTTGTGTCAGGGCGCCTGGGTGGATCAGTGGGTTAAAGCCTCTGCCTTCGGCTCAGGTCATGATCTCAGGGTCCTGGGATCAAGCCCCGCTTCGGGCTCTCTGCTCAGCGGGGAACCTGCTTTCCCCTCTCTCTCTCTGCCTGCCTCTCTGCCTACTTGTGATCACTCTGTCAAATAAATAAATAAGTTAATAAATAAATAAAAGTTTCATGTCAGTTTCGGGGTGCCTGGGTGGCTCATTCAATTAAACCAGCATCCGACTCTTGATCTCAGCTCAGGTCTTGATCTCAGGGTCATGAGTTCAAGCCTAGCGTTGGGCTCCATGCTGGCATGTAGCCTACTTAAAGAAAAACAAAAGTTTCATAACAGTGTTCTACTCATCACATATCAACGTGAATACTGTTATAAGAAGGACTTTTTTTTTAAGTTGCTGTTGCTTTTGTTTTCATAAGTGAGCATGTGCTACTGCCCATTTGGTTGCTGAATTTTAGGGCATAGATTGGTGGTTATAAGAACTCATTTCTTGGGGGTGCCTGGGTGGCTCAGTCGTTAAGTGTCTACCTTTGGCTCAGGTCATGATTCCAGGATTCTGGGATTGAGCCCCACATTGGGCTCCTTGCTCAGCAGGGAGTCTGCTTTTGCCTCTGCCTGCTGCTCCCCCAGCTTCTGTGGACTCCCCCCGCCCCCCGTCTGACAAATAAATAAAATCTGAAAAACAACAAAACAAACAAAAAAATGACTCATTTCTGCTTAGATTTTCTATTAAACAAATAATAATGTTTTATGGGAAATATTTTAATTAAAGATTTTTAAGATACATATTTTTTTAGGAAAAGCTTAAATAAATACATCAATCTTTTTGTTTTGTTTTGCTTTAATAGCAACAGCTGGTGCTTTGAATGTAAATGTGAAGAAAGAAATATCTAGTCCTTCAAGACCTTGCTCTTTTGAAGAGGCCATGAAAGGTACCAACTCGTTTCTTTCCAAAAATGCTATTTTGTCTAGCAACTCTTACCTTTATGTTTTCTTTTGTGTACTTGGAACACTTAGGATATCTTCTATGTCACAAAATAAATATTTGTTTAACTTTACTGAATGCAGAAACTTGTTTCCCAACTTGTATTTCCCCTTTATTCACCATATGAACAAACTGTTTTAAAGTATATGTTGGAGTAGAGGAGATTTTTTTGTTTTGTTTTTATTCCCCAATGTTAAAAACGTTAAAATATAAAGTGAAATAATTTATTTAAAATAGAGTCTATAAAGCTTCTTGCTACCAAAATTAGAACTTGACATTGAAATTTTGAAATTGAAGAGACCAAAATTTGAACTGTTTTGAAAGAATTCAGTATTTGCAAAGTTTCTTTAGTTTTTTTAGTTAATATTCTTCCTTCTGACATCTTTATTTACTCCCTGCCAGTCCCAAGAAACAATGAAGATATCTTCAGGATGTTTTAATGTAAAAGAGATTAGGTCTGTCTTTCTTCCTTCCTTTCTCCCTTCCTCCCTCTCTCCCTTCCTCTCTTTTTCTCTTTTTCTCTCTCATCCTCTCTTTTTCTCTCTCTTCCTCTTTTCTTTTCTTTTTTTTTTTTTTTCCAGCATGCAAACTACACTGTGCCCAGCCTATGATACCTCAGGTGGCAGAGGGGCCAGAAGGGAGTAAATTTTTTTCTTAAGAGATTTCTAACACAACTAGATACTCACCGGTGATGCTTTTTTGCCATTACATATGAAGATGTCAATTACATATTGGCCATTGATTTATTATAATTCTAGCCTTTATTTATCTTTTACTGCCATGAAATTCATGGGTTAAATTAAATTTTAAAATTAAAAATACTTAATCAAATACAATGGATTTTTTTTATATTGTCAGTAGTAAAATTCAGCATTTGTATATACACCATGTTCAGTATAGCTTGTCATTTTAATTTCTGACCATGAACACTTCCAGAGTAGATTAGTGAGGAATTATGCAATAGTAAGTAAACTGCAAAATGTATCTGATTCAACTACAGGAAAATTTACAAATCTGTATAATGGATAACCATAGCTTGCATTTATCGAATGTATATTAAAGTGCTAGGCAATATGCTGTACTCTTTACTGGCACTGTATCATTTAATCTTCCAAATTCTATGAGGTAGATAATTTATTATTCTCATTTCACAGATGAAGAAATCAAAGTTCCAGAGAGGTTAAATAATTTGCCCAAGGTGACTTACCTAGTGTTAAAAATGGATAGGTTGAGCTCTTGTGCATAAGGTAACACATCTAAGCAAAAATAATTTAAGCCATGTTTATTAGATGAATAAATCTATAATTAATGAATCATTAAAGAAAGTTAAGGATATTTGTGGTCTTTTTTTTGCCAACTTCACCATCCCTGCTTTTCTCCAATTTTTTTTTCTCCAAAAAAATTTTTCTTTCAAAGATTTTATTTATTTGACAGAGATCACAAGTAGACAGAGAGGCAGGCAGAGAGAGAGGAGGAAGCAGGCTCCCCGCTGAGCAGAGAGCCTGATGCGGGGCTCCATCCCAGGACCCTGGGACCATGACCAGAGCTGAAGGCAACGGCTTTAACCCACTGAGCCACCCAGGCGCCCCGTTATTTATTTATTTATTTGTTTGTTTATTTTAAAGATTTTATATATTTACTTGAAAGAGAAAGAGAGAATGAGAGAGAGCGTGAGAAGAGAGAGCTCAGTGGGAGAAGCAGACTCCCGGCAGAGCGGGGAGCCTGATGCAGGACTCGATCCTGGGACTCCAGGATCATGACCTGAGCTGAAGGCAGTTGCTCAACCAACTGACCCACCCAGGTGCCTCGGTTGGAAGGTTTTAAATGTCATGTTTAATTTTCAGTAATAAATGATTTAGTCATTTGGTCAAAATCTTAAAAGGCTAAAAAAATGGATAAGAAACACACAAGTAAAAAAAAAATTTTTAAGTTAAAAAGATAAACACACACGTTATTTTTCACAATTCAAACCTTATTTGACAGTTTTATCAATTAAAATCATGATTAATTTTTTGAAGATAAAACATTAAATTGAAAAAAAATTAAATTGAATACTAAATATTGGTTTAAATTTTTCACTTGTCATTTTATTGTTTTTTTTTTTAAAGTTTTTTAAATTTATTTCTTTGAGAGAGAATGAGTGAGAGAGAGCATGAGAGAGAAGGTCAGAGGGAGAAACAGACTCCCCAAGGAGCTGGGAGCCCAGTGCGGGACTCGATCCTGGAAGTCCAGGATCATGACCTGAGCTGAAGGCAGTTGCTCAACCATCTGAGCCACCCAGGCACCCCCACTTGTCATTTTAAATGGAATATCATTATTTGGAGATTCCTGATCAATGAAGAAAAAATAGTAGCTTTCAGAACCAGCAGTTTTCCTTGACTTATGGCTTATTTTTATGATCCCTTGAAATCAGAGCTTTAGTATAATGCCAAGGTTTCATCTGAGAGATTTAATTAAATATACTTCAATGATGAAGACTGAGCAACATAAATGACTTCTAACTTTGTGTTCTGGCAGGAATCTTCCAAGTAACATTCTTATAAATAGCTGTCAATTTTATTAAGATTTAGACCTTGATATCCAAATAGTGATATTATTGAAAGATATTGAAAGCTTTTGCTTTAAAGTAAGTTTCTAATTCCTTAGGGTTTGGAAGGAGTAGGTAGAGAGTAAGAAGGATAACTGTACAGCTCACTCAGTGAGATACTAAATCTAGAGCCAGTTTATCATGATTCATCTTCGGTTTTACTCAGCTGAGTATATATCCTTAACACAAAAGTAATACAGATTAAATAATATAAGGTATATAGTGTAAACTGTTAACAGTTCCTTGAACATATTTCCAGGAAGTTTTCTATATCTAGTAGGCACAGGTAGACAAGAGGGTACACTCTAGAAAGATGGCTCAAAGACTCTGTGATATAGGTTTAGGACCCAAGGATAAAGTGTAGTTGACCCTCGAATAACTCAGGTTTCAACTGTGCAGGTCCACTTATATGCAGATTTTTTTTCCCAATAAATATAGTGTATTTCTCTATGATTTTGTTAATAGCCTTCTTTTCTCTAGCCTACTTTATTGTAAGAAAACAGTATATAATCATATACAAAATACATGTTAACTCTTTATGTTATTGGCTAGACTTCTGGTTAACAGTAGGCTATCAGTAGTTAAGTTTTGAGGGAGACAAAAGTTCTATATGGGGGGCACCTGGGTGGCTCAGTCGGTTAGGCATCTGCCTTCGGCTCAGATCTTGGTCCCAAGGTCCTGGGATTGAGCCCCATGTCGGGCTCCCTGCTCTATGGGAGGCCTGCTTCTCCCTCTTCCACTCCCCCTGCTTCTGTCCCCTCTCTCGCTGTGTCTCTCTCTGTCAAATAAATAAAAATCTTAAAAAAAAAAATCTATGTGGATTTTCAACTATGTGTCATGGTCAGTGCCTCAACCCCCACATTGTTCAAGGGACAACTTGTATTGATGTGCATTCTCTTGGTTTCGGCTTTGTTAAGGAGTGATTAATTGGGTAAGTGTGTAAAATAGTTGAGAGCATATACTTTTCTCTAACTGATTTTAGCTATGTGGAAAGGTTTAGGAGCTTGGAGAAATCATATCTCAATTTTATTTTACAGCAAGGCTAAAGAAGTTAAGTGATTTACTCAAGGTCACACAGTTAGTAACTGACAGCTTGCAACATAGATTGCTCCCAGACCTTTGGGTTTTTTACTCCACTATTTCTTCCCCTATAAATCTTAATCTATATTTTAACCAAACATACTTGTACTTGACCTAAATGCTGCTTGGTAATAGCAAACTTATAGTAAAGACTGTTCTAAGTTTCAAAGATTATTTGGCATGAATGGAAGTGAACACTATTTAAAAGTTGTTTGGCGGTGCCTGGGTGGCTCAGTTGGTTAAGCAACTGTCTTCAGCTCAGGTCATGATCCTGGAGCCCTGGGATCGAGTCCCACATCAGGCTCCCAGCTCCATGGGGAGTCTGCTTCTGTCTCTGACCTCTCCCTTCTCATGCTCTCTCTCTCTCAAATAAATAAATAAAATCTTTTAAAATAAATAAATAAATAAAAATAAAAGCTGTTTGGCATAAACTATCAGTACCATTATTCTTCACAAATTCAGTTTGATATTTGGATGATTAAATATGTCTATCTTATTTACCTTGTAGATTTTCTGAATTTGCTTAAAAGTTCTTCCCTAACCCTTACATAATACACAGACTTCACATGTTTGGGTTTTTTTTTCCCTCCTTCACTAAAATGTAATTTCCAGACAGTAGTACTTTATCCATCTTAATCATCACTGGAACCTGAAACAGTGCCTGAAACTTTGTAAAGGATCATAAATATATAATGAGAATGTAGGAAGGAAAGACAGGATGACCTCTCTCAAGCCATTTAATATTGTTTACACATCCATTAAAGATATAGTTGTGGGTTCTGGGACATAATAGTATAGATTTATTTTTCCCTGTCCCTCCCTTCTAAATCTACCAAATTACCTGGGAAATAATTGAGCAATCATAAAAGCACTTTGAAATATAGAGAGAAGAAAGCGGACTGGCTAGGGACCATAGAACTTGAAGATTGACACCAAGTGAGTTTCCTGGGTTTTCTTTAGTCTACCTTTTTTCTGAATTGGGCACCAGAGAAGTCTGCAGCTCAGAACTGGCAACAGGCACAGAGAGAAAGAATAAATCAATAAATAAGCGTGAGTAGTCTGCTCTTGAAAACTAGGAAAAGCAAAGACTGGCAGAGTCTTGGTGGGATGACTTATACCTAGTGACAGCAGCTGATCCACTAGCAAAATCTGGGGGCTGACTCATCCCCCACCCACATGTGTAGTAGCAACAGCAGAACTTGATACGGTCGACCCACTGCATGCCCCACACCTGCCAAGTAGCCATGGGCCTGATCTACTAATAGTAAAACCAAAGAGGGCCCAATACAGGTTTCGCATAAACCAGAACCAATAGATCAGTCTGTCTTATGTCACACCAAAAAAAACCAACTTTTTTTTTTTTTTAAAGATTTTATTTATTTGACAGAGAGAGAGAGAGAGATCACAAGCAGAGAGGCAGGCAGAGAGAGGGGGGGAAGCAGGTTCCCTGCTAGCAAAGAGCCTGATGTGGGGCTCGATCCCAAGACCCTGAGATCAGGACCTGAGCCAAAGGCAGAGGCCTAACCCACTAAGCCACCCAGGCGCCCCTCTAAAATACTTTTAAATACCTGCCTTGTACATGATCTGAAGTTTTTTCTCAGTCAAAATTGGATTGTGAGTTGCTTGAATCTAGGTGAAAATAGATCTGAAAACTTATGAGTAAATGACCCGTTTTTCAAAGTAATAAAGTATAGAATATCAGAAGTTAAATGAGCACTTCCCTCTCCCTGAAGATAATCAGTTCCCACAGGAGTTGTTTTTAGCCAGTTAGCTGTAAGACAAATTGAAGACCAGAATTCAAATATTTTAAAATCAAATTATTACGAAGATAGCTATCCTGTTCATATACCATGTGCCATTTTTTTTTAAAGATTTTATTTATTTATTTGACAGACAGAGATCACAAGTAGGCAGAGAGGCAGGCAGAGAGAGAGGAAGGGAAGCAGACTCCCTGCTGAGCAGAGAGCCCGACGCGGGACTCGATCCCAGGACCCTAGGATCATGACCTGAGCCGAAGGCAGCGGCTTAACCCACTGAGCCACCCAGGCGCCCTACCATGTGCCATTTTAAAGTCCTCTTTGGGGGCGCCTGGGTGGCTCAGTGGGTTAAAGCCTCTGCCTTCGGCTCGGGTCATGGTCTCAGGGTCCTGGGATCGAGCCCTGCATCAGGTTCTCTGCTCAGCAGGGATCCTGCTTCCCTCTCTCTCTGCCTACTGCTCTGCCTGCTTGTGATCTATCTCTCTCTGTCAAATAAATAAAATAAAATCTTTTAAAAAATAAATAAATAAAGTCCTCTTTAGAGCCAGTATTTCTTCTCGGTATTAAATTAAGAAGTTTAACAGCTATGCCTTCTGGGGAATTTGTATTTTTCTCTATAGGGTTTCAGAGTAGTGGTAAACTCTTAGGTCAGAATTTGGCTAGGTTTCTGTTCAGAAGACTATCATTAGTGATACCAGTAGGCTGCACTAAGTGCCAGTATCACAGATGTTAGACAAAAAAGAAGTCAAAGAAAAGGAATCAAGGACAAAAAATAGATATAATGAAATGGTAGAACCTACCTTATCTGCTATGGATTACCTGTCCTTAGTGTAAATCTATTGTAAATCATATAAATCTATGTCCTTAGTGTAACTATTTCTGCAAACTGGAGTAGAAGAAAGTGGAAAATACTTGCTGGTTTTGCTTTGGAAATTTAATTGATAAACCTAAAATAGTTTTTAAATTTCTGAAATGAAAAAATAATTTAAGTCCTGTCTAAAAGGGAAATGTGCTGGGATACCTGGGTGGCTCAGTAGGTTAATCTTCTGCCTTTGGCTCAGATTGTGATCCCAGGGTCTTGGGATTGAGCCCAGCGTCAGGCTGGGGCTTGGGCTCCCTGCTCAGCGGGAAGCCTGCTTTTCCTGTGCCTACTGCCCTTCCCCTTCCCCTGCTCATGTTCACTCTCTTGTTCTCTCTCTTTCACGTGTGCTCTCTCTCTCTCTCTCTTTCTCTAATAAATTAATAAAATATTTTTAAAAAATAAAAATGAAAGAGAAATGTACTCATGTCAACTTAGCATATACAACTTTTCTAAGACATTAAGCTAGAAAAGCAAAATCTGTCTGGTTACTTGGTGGCATATTCTAATGAGACACTTGAGTTTTGTAGAGGAGAGAAATGTTCAGACAGTCCTATAGCCCTTAAAATGTTTTTTACTTTATGTGGCCAGGCAACCATATGCTAAGAGGAGAGTTGTAGTTGAGTAGCTTTACCCTGGGTATTTCTAAGCTGTATCCTCTTAATATGTTGTGGAAATGTTGATTAATGTAATTCATGGTACTTTGAAAGGACCCTAAGGAATATAGCTTGATAATTGAACTATGTAAGTTTGTTGATACTTAACCCAGTCTCATTCAGGCTCCTATCAGAAGTTACATCAAGCCTCTACTGCTTCAAAAAAGGGAGGACACATTTTGATACACCAGTTTTATATCTCATGCTGCCAGCATAGCATCAAAAAGTAGACATTTAAATCATGACAAAGAGTCAGCATATCATAGAATGAAATAGTTGATGATGTTAGTGATTTTAAACTTTTCTTTCTTTTTGTGTGTGTTTGTATACAGCAATGAAAACTACTGGTTGTAACTTAGATAAGGTAAATATTCTTCCTAATGCTCTGATCACTCCACTCATATCAAGCAGTATGATTAAGAGTGAAGATGTTACTCCAATGGAAGTAACAGCAGAAAAAAGATCTTCCCCTATTTTTAAGGTGAGTTACATTGTTTAGTACCCACATCTTCATCTCAGTTATAAAAATTGCTAGTTTGATTTCTTTTCTCCATGTTTGTGCTTTTTACTTTTCCTGTTTATTTCACATGTATTTCTATTTAGATGCAGGTAATGAGTTTTGCTTTTCAGAGTGATTTAACATGCTAATAAAATAGCCTGCAAAGTGATTTCCAATATACCTTGGAAAGGGAAGAATTAATATTAGCTAGACTTGTGGGGTATGGGATATTAATGAAAGTGTAGGTGTAGTATTTTCAGAATTGGAGACATTTTTTCCCCCATTCTTTTTCTGTAACTCCCTTTCCCTTTTTCACTTATTCTTTTCCCTCCAAAATGTTAAAGATGGAAGTATTTTTAAATTTATTATTAATTCATGAACAATAGAATTAATGTGTTCTTCCTGTCCTAAGCACATCAATAACTGATTATTTTTTGTTTGACTGTTAGTTTAGTCAAACTGATTAGTTTTTAGTCAAAACTGATTTAGTCAAAACTGATTAGTTTTTGTTTGACTATCTGTGCTTATAACATTTATTAAAAAGATATCCTAATGACAGATATCATGGTATCATCAGAGAATCCTAGTCTTACCTGTTTTCTGAAAAAATAAGGTAGAGTGGAAAATTGGTCCTGTATATACATATGTTTTTAGAATAATAATTTTTGAAGTATCTTATGAGTTAACTTAATATTTATATAGACATATTATTTGGGGATTTTTATTTTTTAGACTACAAAGACAGTTGGATCAACTCAACAAACATTAGAAAATATCTCTAACATAGCAGGAAATGGGTCTTTTTCATCGTCATCCTCTTCCCACTTACCTTCTGAAAATGAAAAGCAGCAGCAGATTCAGCCTAAGACATACAACCCAGAGACCCTGACAACTATCCAAACACAGGACATTTCACAGCCTGGTACCTTTCCAGCAGTTTCTGCTTCCAGTCAGCTGCCCACCAGTGATGCACTACTGCAGCAGGCAACCCAGTTTCAGACCAGAGAAACCCAGTCTAGAGAAGTGCTACAGTCAGATGGTACAGTGGTTAATTTGTCACACCTGACTGAATCATCCCAGCCACAGCAGCAGTCACCACTACAAGAACAAGCGCAGACTTTACAGCAGCAGATTTCATCCAATATTTTCCCATCACCGAATAGCGTGAGTCAACTACAGAATACGATTCAACATTTGCAAGCCGGAAGTTTTACAGGCAGTACTGCCAGTGGCAGCAGTGGGAATGTTGACTTGGTCCAGCAAGTTTTAGAGGCACAACAACAGTTATCTTCAGTTTTATTTTCTGCTCCAGATGGTAATGAGAATGTTCAAGAACAGCTTAGTGCAGACATTTTTCAACAAGTCAGTCAAATTCAAAATAGTGTAAGCCCTGGAATGTTTTCCTCAACAGAACCAGCAGTCCATACTAGACCAGATAATTTAATAGCTGGAAGAGCTGAAAGTGTTCATCCACCGACTGAAAACACATTATCCAGTCAGCAGCAGCAACAGCAACAGCAACAAGTGATGGAATCATCAGCTGCAATGGTGATGGAGATGCAGCAGAGTATTTGTCAGGCAGCTGCCCAGATCCAGTCTGAGCTATTTCCTTCCCCTGCGTCAGCAAATGGGAACCTTCAGCAATCTCCAGTTTACCAGCAGACGTCTCACATCATGAGTGCGTTATCTACCAATGAGGACATGCAAATGCAGTGTGAATTGTTTTCTTCTCCACCTGCAGTTTCTGGAAATGAAACTACTACAACCACCACACAACAGGTTGCAACCCCTGGCACGACCATGTTCCAGACATCAAGTTCAGGAGATGGAGAAGAACCTGGAGCACAAGCAAAGCAGATTCAGAACACTGTCTTTCAGACCATGGTCCAAATGCAACATAGTGGGGATAGTCAATCTCAAGTTAACCTTTTTTCATCTACGAAAAGTATGATGAGTGTGCAGAATAATGGTACTCAGCAGCAAGGTAATGGTTTATTCCAGCAAGGTAATGAGATGATGTCACTCCAGTCTGGGAATTTTTTGCAGCAGTCTTCTCATTCACAGGCTCCACTTTTTCATCCTCAAAATCCTATTGCTGATGCTCAGAACCTTTCCCAGGAAACTCAAGGTTCTATTTTCCACAGCCCAAGTCCTATTGTCCACAGTCAGACTTCTACAACATCCTCTGAACAAATGCAGCCTCCAATGTTTCACTCTCAGAGTACCATGGCTGTGCTCCAGGGCTCTTCTGTTCCTCAAGACCAGCAGTCGGCCAACCTGTTTCTTTCCCAAAGTCCAATGAATAATCTTCAGAGTAACACAGTAGCCCAAGAAGAACAGATTTCATTTTTTGCAGCTCAGAACTCCATTTCTCCACTTCAGTCAACATCTAACACTGAGCAGCAAGCTGGTTTCCAACAGCAGGCTCCAATATCACACATCCAGACCCCTATGCTTTCCCAGGAACAGGCACAACCCTCCCAGCAAGGTATGTTCCAGCCTCAAGTGTCGCTGGGCTCCCTGCCTCCTAATCCAATGCCTCAGAACCAACAAGGAACAATCTTCCAGTCTCAGCACTCGATAGTTGCTATCCAGAGTAACTCTCCGTCCCAGGAGCAGCAGCAGCAGCAGCAGCAGCAGCAACAGCAGCAGCAGCAGCAGCAACAGCAGCAGAGCATTTTGTTCAGTAATCAGAACACCATGGCCACGATGGCATCTCAGAAGCAGCCACCACCAAACATGATGTTCAACCCAAGTCAAAATCCAATGGCTAATCAGGAGCAACAGAACCAATCCATCTTTCACCAACAAAATAATATGGCTCCAATGAATCAAGAGCAGCAGCCCATGCAATTTCAGAACCAGCCTCCAGTTTCCTCTCTTCAGAACCCAGGTCCTACCCAGTCTGAGTCGCCACAAACCTCCTTATTCCATACCTCTCCTCAGATTCAGTTGGTCCAAGGGTCACCCAGTTCTCAAGAGCAGCAAGTAACACTGTTCCTCTCTCCAGCATCCATGTCTGCTTTGCAGACTAGTATGAACCAACAAGACATGCAGCAGTCTCCTCTTTATTCCCCTCAGAACAACATGCCTGGAATCCAGGGAGCCACATCTTCACCTCAGCCACAGGCGACTTTGTTTCACAACACTGCTGGAGGCACGATGAACCAACTACAGAATTCTCCTGGCTCATCTCAACAGACTTCCGGAATGTTCTTATTTGGCATTCAAAATAGTAAGAAACTCTTTCTGATTTCTTATTTCTTAAATGTTACTAGTTGAAATGGTCAGATCATTATTATTTTTATTAAAAGGAAGCAAAACACAGGGGTCTTAAGAGCACAGATTATACTTAAAACTGAGTTCAAGTCCCAGCTATACCACTTATATACTATGAGATCGTGGACAAGTTATGTGACCTGCAAAAGCTTCAGTTTCCATATCTTAAATGGTGATACTATTATGTACTTACTCAAAAAGGATATTGGGAGGACTAAATGTGGTCATGAATGTAAATGAATGTGTTTGCCATTTTAATCTATAAACTTGAAAGGAAAATGAAGTAAGAATGACAAAATGTCTCTGCCAATTAAAGCAAGTAGTTTCCAAGGAGGTAGAAACTCATCTTTAATATTTATATACCAAGGAAAATGTGTAGGCCTTAAGATTAACGAAGCAAAGTTGTATTTGTATATCACTTAGAGGAGACCTGGGATGAATTCTGGTACCGTTTGGTGAAAACCTTTTTGGGGGGCTGTCACGTGCCTCCCTTCTGGTTCTTTTTTGAATAAGCACAATTATGAATTTGCCCCGGCAACTAATAAATATCTTCTTATGAATCCTAACAGAAAGTAACTAATCAGGTAGCTTCTCTATTTTAAATGTCTCTGCAGACTGTAGTCAGCTTTTAACTTCTGGACCAGCTACCTTGCCAGATCAGTTGATGGCCATAAGTCAGCCAGGCCAACCCCAGAATGAGGGCCAGCCACCTGTGACAACACTTCTTTCTCAGCAAATGCCAGAAAATTCTTCACTAGCATCCTCTATAAATGCCAACCAGAACATTGAAAAGATTGATTTGCTTGTTTCATTGCAAAACCAAGGGAACAACTTGACTGGCACCTTTTAACTGGATGAGTAAGTATTGCATTTTGGCTTCTTTTTTATTGAAAAGCATCGATAAATTGTATTATTCTGACATAAACTGTATCAGATTTGGGTTTAAGTAATAACACTCTTTAGACCCTACTCTTTTGAAATACGACTTTCTCACAAGATGGCACTTTTTTTTTTTTTTTAAGATTTTATTTATTTATTTGACAGAGAGAGATCACAAGCAGGCAGAGAGGCAGGCAGAGAGAGAGGAGGAAGCAGGCTCCCTGCTGAGCAGAGAGCCCACATCCCATTCATTAGCTACACCCTCCTATTTTCCAAATACAGTTGTTTATGTACACAACTGTAGTCGTTCCTTGATTTCATTAATACCTTCATTCTGTTGGTTCTCTCTTTTTTTTTTTTTTTTTTTAAAGGTTATTTATTTATTTGACAGAGAGAGATCACAAGCAGGCAGAGAGGCAGGCAGAGAGAGAGGAGGAAGCAGG